CTCTCCCTTCTCTCTAGCTGCACCCAACCTCTTATGGGGCTTTGTGTCCTGGGGGCTGAGTCCCACCACCACACCTATCCTTCTGCTATTGTCTGGGCCTGGACACTTGCCGGCTGCCTAGTTCAATGCCCCCTTCTCCAGGAAGCCCTTCAGGTGTTTCCAACCCTGTCTCTTCCTCTGCCCACCCCCAACTCCTCCAGTATGGGGCATCTGTATCGTGCTGTACTCCAGACTGGGGGTCTTTGGGGTTTGGCTGAGGCTTTGAGAGAAGGAACATCATTGCCCAGTCTGGCTGTGCACAGATGGGGATGCTGCAGATATTATTTTTAATGGGTGGTTCCAAAGGGTTGGCACCCCCACCCACACCACCCCAGTCTGGGTGGGTGCCTCCCATGGGGAACAGCTGTTGAAGAGGGGGGTGGGGGTGGAAACAGATGGTTCCGGGAGCAGAGGGTCCGGGGGCGGTGCCAAGAGAGTTCTTCATGGGTCCAGCGTCCACAGCTTTCAGTCGCCTCCCTCTGCCACTTTAGATCATTTTGTATTTTGGAAGTGAATCTAAACTGGTAGTTATTATTAATCTCACAAAATCATAGTCTTGGCTGTGATTCCTCAAGGCCTCCCTGATTGCCAGGTCTTGAGCCTGGCACTCAGTTCCTCCTAGGACCCTGTGTAACTTTCTAGATGAGGAAACTGAGGCACCTGGCGGGGAGTCACACGGCCCAGATGTGGGAGATCCAGATTAGGAACTCAGGACCTACCTGAGCTTTGGAAGGAAATGGCTGGACCCCTGAGTTCCAATCCCAGCTCTGCCCTGTTTCACGTGTGTGTGTGTGTGTGTGTGTGTGTGTGTGTTTGTTGGGGGGTATGGGAGGAGTTGCCATAAGATCCCAGGAGGGGGCTGAAGGAGACCCTAATGGTGGTGATGGTGGTGGTTCCTGAGTGGAAGACCCTCAACAAGATGAATTGACAAAGTGGCTACGATAATGGGCTCAAGTATTTAGTAAGGATTGTGAGGATGGTGCAGAACCGGGCAGTGTTTCGTTCTGTTGTACATTGGGTGGCTATGAGTCAGAGTCAACTCAAGGGCACCTAAGAACAACAACAACATGATAGGTAGTGAGTTCTCCATAGCCAGAGGTATTCAAGCAGACAGGGCGACTTCAGGGTGGCAGGTCAGCCTCTTCCTACCCTGAATGGCACGGTTTTCTGAATGCAGCATAGCTGGGGAAAGGCCTTGGAATGTACTCCTCATCCCTGCCAACCCCTCCCCTCTTCCCCAGACCCCTGCAACCCCTCCCAGTCGTGTTGTCCCGTGCTAGCGGCTTCTGGCCCCCTCCAATTGGCTGCGGGGGCCGCTGACGTCATAGGTTGCCATGGTGAACGCCCCGCTCAGGACGTGGGCAGCCCCAGGCCCACAGAGGTAAAAATAGCCTCGTGTCCCCAAGGCGGCCACCCCGGTGGTGGTGGGGAGACCGAGACTCGGATTCCCGGCCCTCCCTCTGCCGAGAGAGGAGGCACCAGGCTTCCCTCCCCTCCTCAGTTTCCCGGGCCTGTAAAACGGCCCCTGCCTGACTTGTAGTGGGCGACTTAGTGAAGGTGATCAGAGATTTCCAGGTACCATGATGGCTTCTGCATACGCTCGTGCTGGATTCCACAATAACAACACACAACAACAGTAATAACGACTGATCATTCCTACCCCAGACCCCTTCATATGTTACCTCCAAACTACTGATGAGTAAACCGAAGCACGGAGAATACGACGATCACTTGCTCAAGTTTGCACAGCCGGGAAGGCACAAATACCCGATCCCTGGACTCTAAACTTGTGCTACATGGGCATTAGAAACCCTCTTGAGCAAGTTATGTCTGAAGGTGGACTCGGGGGTCAGAGTGGACCCCAAACCAGGGCTTTCTGCCCTGCATGTGGTGGGAGCACCCAGGGGAGGTGCCAGCTAGCTTCCTGAGCTCTAAAACAGCCTTCAAAAGGGAGGTCACAGGTTAGTACCCTTCCCTGCACTGGCCATGCAGGCCAAAACCTCTGTAGTTTCTTCAGAGGATGAGGAGGGAGTAGCTTTCAGATCTGGGGGAAAAGCCAACTGAGGAATCTACTTTTCCTCAACAGATCATTAGAATTTAGCCACTAACCATAAGCTTTTTTATAAATATAACTAATTTGTTACTATTTTGGTTAGGTGCCATCAAGTTGACCCTGTGTACAGAGTAGAAGTGCTCTATAGAATTTCAAGCTGTGATCCTTATAGAAGCTGATTGCCAGGGCTGTCTTCCAGGGCACTTCTGGGTGGGTTCGAACCACTAGCCTCTCAGCTAGTAGTCAAGCACTTAACCATTTGCACCACTTAGGGACAATTTGTTACTTTAAATAACAAAATTACTTGTAGTGCATGTGGAGTAAGAACTGGGTGGGGAGGTAGATTGGGAGTCTGGGAGGGCTTCCAGGAAGAGGGAACACTTGAGCAGAGGGGGAGAAAGGAGGTCCTGGCAGGAGGCACAGCCGCTGCAAAGGCCCTGAGGCAGGGCTGAGGCCAGCATGTAGGGCAGGCACAGCAAGAAGGCTTTGTCTGAAGCCCAGTGAACTGAGGGCTAAGTGGAGAGTGAAGCTAGCAAATAGGCACAAGGACCTTGTTTCTCTGGAAATGACCCCTATTTTCATCTCATTTCAGAAGGAGCTGAGTCTGCCGCGCCGGGGACGTGGGTGAGTTCTCCTTGGGCCTGGTGGGCTGGTGGGCTGGGCGCTCTGTGGTTCTGAGCACAGGTATTTCAGCAGCAGCCGCCAAGCTGTCAATTTGTTTAATCATTACAACAATGCCACTCCAATCCATCCTGCCTCAGTGTTTGCAAAGTGCCTCACTCGGCCCTCCCATGAGAGGCCAATACCCATTTGCACATGAGGAAACTGAGGCACAAAGGAGCTGTGTCATCAGCTCAGTGGCACCCAGCATACAAGGGGGAAAATCTGTCTGGAATCCAAAGTCTAGACTACAGAATTCCAACTCCAGTATCCTGAAACTGGCTTGCAAGCCTCTTGTGTTAAGGAGCTCACTGTCTCATGGGGAACCCAAACCTAAAACCCATTGCTATACAGTCAATTCTGACTCATAGTGACCCTGTAGGACAAAGTAGAACTGCCCCCATAGAGTTTCCAAGGCTGTAAATCTTTACAGAAGCAACTGCCACATCTTTCTCCCATGGAGTGACTAGTAGAACTTTAGGTTAGCAGATGAATGCTTAACCACTGTGCCACAAGGCTCTTTCATGGGGAACACAAGTGTGAAATTCATATCCTTTAGGGGTCACATCAGTGTTCCTGTAGGCTGCCATTTTTGGATCCCAAAAGCTCAGAGAACATTTTGTTCAGTGACTTTGCCTGTTTGCAGATGAGGAAACTGAGGTCCAGGAAGGGGAGAGAATTGTCTTGTGCTGGCTGGTGGTCTTGGTCTCTGGGTGGCAGAGTTTGCTCAACTACTAACTGAGAGGTTGATGGTTCATAACTCACCCAGCGGCGACACGGAAGAAAGGCCTGGTGATCTACTTCTGTGTAAACTTACAGCTATGTACTTCTGTGTAAGCGTACAGTCATTGAAAACCCAGTTCTACTCTGAAGCACGTGGGGTGGCCATGATTCAGAATCGACTTGACAGCAACAGGTTTAGTTTTTGCGGTCTTGGAGGTGTGAGGATGCAGACACCCCCTCCTTGGGAGGCATGTTTTCCTGAGCTGGGGGTGGGAATTCCACTGCCCTTCAATAAAATTATTCTCTCAACTAACATTTTTTGAGTGCCTACTGTTTTGCCAGGCCCTGTTCCAGGCACTGGGGACATGGACACCAGTTAGTCCCTGACCCTGCCCTTGGAACTCCGGGTGGGTCTCCTGGGGGAGGAAATTAAGAGGGAGAGACTGAAAGAGGAAAGGGGTTGATTTTAGCCTGGGGCCTCTCGGAGGAGGTGATGTTTGCACCAAAATCTGGAAGAGAACTCAGAGGAGCTGGCCAGGGGGAATGTTTTGGGGGAACAGCATTCCAGCAGAGGGAGAAGTATGGGCCAAGGGGGGAGGTGGGAAGAAACTTGGAAAGGAGCAGCATGGCTTGGTGGCTGGAGCAGTGAGCAACGGGGGAGATGGAGGGCGAGGAGAAGGAGAAACCCTGGGAGTCAGATGAAGTTTTGAAATCCGATGGTGAGGCGGGGGTCAGAGTGGCTCCCAAGCCCAAGCCATCTGCTCCTCGCTGGAGTGGGGATGATGCAATTGGTGGGGAGGTCTCCAGTAGAGGCGTGCTCGGACATTGCCCGAGGGCGGGCCCTGACAGCCTTTGCCCAGTCTGAAGGGTGGTGATGGAGAGTGAATTAGTCGGAGGTTAAAGTCCTGGGCCACTGGACCGGGCTTGGCCAAAGGCTCCTTAAGGGTTACCCATTCCTAGATACTTGCTCTATGCCCAACTGAATCCGGCTCTGATGTGCGCGGGGGATGTGAGGTGACCCGCCGTACTAGACCCAGACCTTAGCGCCGCGGGACTAGAGGAGGGTTAGGGGCGTGACACTTACAGATCCGGGGTCTGAGAGCTTTCGGGCGTGGGGAGAGGGCGGGCCGGGCTTGAGGGTGGGGCCAAGGGATGGAGCAAAAATGCCGGCGGAGGAATCAGTAGCCGCCCTTCGTTTGCGGCCGTGCAGCCCGGCATCTCAAAAGCCCGCGGCCTCGACTTCCCTTCCGAGGAGGAGGAGACACCCGCGGCTCCTACTCCGCCACCACTCTCGCCGGCCGGGCCTGCGCGCAGGTGCGGAGCCCGAGCCCCGCCCCGAGGCGGAGAACGCTTGTCCCCCACTCCCCTGGCGGCCCAGCCCCCTGCGCCGCTTCCGCCGCGCCCGCCAGGCGTGCGGTGCCCGCGTTCCCGTCGGTCAGTCGGTCCTCCTGCGCCGCGGCCGGGGCTAGCAAGCTGCGAAGGGGGCGTCGGTTACCGGCCGAGTGGACGCGGCCCCGGCCTCGGCATGAAATCCCGCAGGGACAAGCTGCACATCCCGGCGCTGACCCTTGAGTGAGTGCGGGGCTGGGGGTTGGGGGGCACCGTATGACAGCGGGTTTCTCCGCGTGTAGCTGTTCAGGTACTGCCGCCTCCGGGAAGCCCTCCGAGGTCATGGGTCTGGCCCCGCCCTCGCAGCCTAAGCGAGACCCGGGATCCCCGGGTTGTGCCCCATTTCCTTCCACTCTGGGTATGTTCGCGCGCAGGGCCACCGCCAGGCTCACCGTCCCCGGCCTCTTTCTTTACAGTCTGTCTCCGAGCACCCAGAGCCCGGCCCTGCTGAGCCCCAGTAGCCCCTGCAGCCCCTGTAGCCCCTCGTTGGGCCTGCACCCCTGGAGGTGAGTGACAGCATGTGGGGGCGGGGCGTGGACCTGCCCCGGCGCCCCCTTGGCTGGTGACGTCACCTCTCCGGGCCTCAGTTTACTCCTCTGTAAAATGGCGTTGCAGTCTGCCCTGAGGTTGTTGGGGGAAATTCCATGTTCAGCCGCGGCCAGTAAAGTCCCCCATCTGACAGGTGTCTACGAGGTGAGGCCAAAACTTAAGCTGTTGCCCAAGGACTACCCTGAGACAGGTGCTGGGTTCCCAGCCTGCTCATGACTGTGCTGGATGAATCTGCCTAGACTCCCCAGCAGTGACCTCAGAAACCCTCAGCTGGTCACAAGGCTCCTCCCTTGAACACAAGCGCCCAAACCTAAGAGTCCATTATCAGAGCCCTGGCCACTGAAGAGAGCACTTAAAGGGTAGAGGAAGAGAAACCAGATTTGATTGAGTGCCGGCTATATTCCAGGGCAGTCGCTTCTGTTACCAGTCCCAGTAGGGAGATACCATTTTCCACTCTGTTCCCCAGCTGAGGAAACTAAGGTTCAGAGAGGAAACGCCAGTTGTGGGTTCAGTGCATCTGAGGGTCAAGCGTCAGGGCCAGTTTTGCCACCAGAGTCTGTTGAGAGTTTGAGCCACTTTGTGTGATTGGGTGGGTCTCAGAGTCTTGCACCTGGACAGGAGGGATTATTATCAGGGTTATCAAGGCTCCTTGTAAGTTTCAGACTAAGGTTCAGGGAGGGGTCAGATGTAAGGGTTATTAAAAAAAACTGCACTGTCCTGGAGTTGGATCAGACTCATAGTGACCCTTCCTTGGGTTTCTGAAGCGGTATCACTATGGAAGTAGATTGCCCAGCCTTCCTTCTGAGGAGTGGCTGATGGGTTTGAACTACCAGCATTCTGGTTAGCAGTCAATTGCCTCAGGCACTACACCACCAGAGTTTAGCTATTTAAAATTTGGTTGCACAGTCATTCACACCTTAGTATGAATGAGTTGCTCTGACTCTTCCCACAGGCTTTTAAAGGGGGAGAAAAAGAAATTTTATGTCGACCAAAATGGGTGGTGGGAAACAGGCGGGTACCTTTAGTCAGTCAACTAGTGTTTATTATACTGTATACCAGGTGCTGTGGGTATAGCTATGAACAAAATGGACAGAGCATCTTCCTCACGGGGCTGTCAGTCTCTTTGGAGTGGTGGACTGTGACCACCCAGGGAGGGAATGGCAAGCCAAGTCTGACTCTGAGTCCTCGACCTCAGCCCAGGGAAGGACTGGAGAACTGGATGCCCAAAGGAGGTACCCTTGTGTCTGGGGGGCAGCTGAGTCCATTTTCCCAGAAAGACATGGAAAAAGAGTCTGGGGCTCTAGCTCTGGCAGAGCCGCCCCCCCCCCCGATGCCTCACTCGCCACCAGAGGGCAGCAGAGTCACATCACCTTAAGACAGGAGAGGAAATGAGACTTGGCTTCTTCTGCTCCAAGTACCCTAGATGAACCCACATTGATTCTTATGGTCTCCCGAGGCCTAGTCCCTGGAGAGTCCCCTGCCTGTTCCTCCAAAAGGCAGGCTGGCCCGACCTCAGGGCCTTTGCACATACACCTCTGCCAGGAGCTCTGTAACCTTTCTTCATCTGCCAGGTCTATGCCAAGTCCTCAGGTGGGAAGCCTTCCCCAACCACCCCCTCCCCTCATGCTCCCCCAGGCCCCAGTCACATTCATTGCACTCCATGTTCTGTTCCCTCATCTGCCACCTCTGTCATAGTGTGTTTACAATCTCTTCAATGATTATGGGGCAGTGGTTTTTTTTCACCCAGAGGTTTGGGAACCTGGGTCTGTCTAGGTCTCGCTGGGCAGAACTTGGTGCCCAGCTGGTGCTCAGTGAATGCTTGTGGTCTGGATAAAGAGAAAGCAACCGGGGAGGCACAAAGTGGGGACGAGGGCTCTGCTTTTTATTGCAGGAAATTGTGACTTGAGCCCTCAAGAACAAAGGTGTGACAGAGAGGCTGTTCCAGGCTGGAACAGCTGAGTCAGAGTGAGGTGTATTCCCTCTGGGGCCTGGAATGCCAAGGGCAGGAAGAGTTTGGATTTTCTAAGTGAGGGTGCTGCGTGGAGTGTGGGGCTGAGAGGGGTGTGGACAGTGTATGTATAGGGAGGAAGGCCTGGTGTGGTCAGACCATAAGGGACTGGGGCTGGGGCCCTGTACACCCCCCTGAGGCCTTTTTCATTTGCTTAGTCGTTAGCACAGAGAGAAGCAAAGCTTGAGGTCACAGAGTGGGTCAGGGACAGAGTTGGGACCTGAGTCCCAGGAGAGGCATTCACCCGGGAATATGGCTTTGTAAAAGCAGTAGGGAGCCATGGAGAGTGTATGAGCTGGGGAAGGGTGTGTGATCTAGTGGACAGTGGCTCTGCCAGCCCACAGTCACAGGCCCTCTGGGTTGTGTTGTACTGCACAGGGGGAAAGTGAGGCCAGAAGGACATGGGAGAAGCAGCTGCTGGGGACTCCAAGGTGGTGGGTGTAGTGGGGGGTGGGGTGGTACTGTGTGCATGGCTAGAGTTATGGGAGCAGCTCTTTGACTACACGTATGCAGGATTGTATCCCCATACACATGCAGGAGGGCAGCTCACGGACACAAGCGTGTCAGCATGTGGTGACATATGACGCCATGGCTCTGTCCCTCCCTGCTTGGGTCCCCATGCTTGCAGGCATTACAGACTGAACACGGCCCCAGGAATCTTGGTTACCCCAGACCTGCTGTCTGCACTCTGCATCCCCTTCCCCACCGTGAGACTCAGGCCAGACACCTGGGATCATCAGCTACTCCACTTGTCCCTTATACCTCATCCCCATGCCAGACCCTCAGCATGGCCTGTCTCTCAACCCCTAAACAAGTCCAGAATCTGCCCCCTTTAACCCATGGCCCTACTCTAGTTTGGATCCCATGTCTCCCTGACAGATGCTGTCCCAGCATCTGTGGCCTCCTGCAGTTCCACTCTTGACCCTGACAACTCCTGTTCCCCATAGCAGACATGGGGGAGTTTAACAAACACAGAGGGTCACCTCGTGGTCACCTCCACAAAGGGTCACCTCCTTTGCTCATGGACCCTCCATGGCTCCCCACTGCTCCTACAACAAAACCATACTCCTTGCAGCCCTCGAAGCCCACGTGGTTGGGCTGCTGGCATCTCCCCCACAGTCCTGCCTCAGGGCCTTGGCACAGGCTGTGCTCTCTGCTTGAGACACTTTCTCCATGCCTGCCACCTCTTCCTCCTCAGTTTCTTGGCTGTGGCATCACCTCCTCAGCGAGACCTCCCAGGTAGTCAACCCTCACAACTGTTACCCTCTCTTTTTCCTTCCTTGACTTTGGTGTTTGAAATTATCTGTTCATTTACTTATTTCCTCTTTACTTTCTGCCTCCCCCACCAGACTGGGAGCCCCTCAAGGGCAAGAATTTTATGTGTCCCGGTCTGCCCTGGGGCCCCAGGGCCCAGCACAGTGCCAGGCACAGAGTAGGTGCTCAATAAATGTTTATTGAGTGAATTAACAGCAGCGTGTAGCTGTACAAGCCTGGGGTCTTGAGTCCTGGCAGATGTTCATAGGGATACACTTAGCAGGTGTTTGGACCACAGGGCAGGGGCACCTGCGGGTAACACTGGGCATGGAGGGAACAGGTGGGTGGGTCTGGGGGAGACTTGGGGAGCAATGATAGAGGGGAGAGGGATGGGCAGGTCAGGGAAAAGGGTTGGGAGGTGATGGCACCTTCTCTGTGCTTTGGTCTCCTTGCCTGTCTGCTGTTCTTGGATGTGGTGCTTAGATTCTGGTGTCAGGCCTGGGTCAGTTTCCAGTATTCTGTGTGACCCAGAAAGGGGTCACCATCAGGGTTACATTGTCCTCGACTTCACAACACCATCAGGAGAAGAGGAAACATAGTTCATTGGCAACTGTATGCCTGAAGGAGCCCTAGTGGTGCAATGGTTAAGCATTGGGCTGCTAACCAAAAAGTTGGCAATTCAAATACACCCAGGCAACGCTATGGGTCAGCTCTCTGGTGGTCTGCTTGTGTACACATTAAGCCCATTAAAACAAAACCCATTGCTATTAAGTCGATTCCGACTCCGCAACCCAGTAGGACCCTGCCCCGTGGGATTTTCCAAGCTGTAAGTCTTTACAGCAGCAGACTGCCCATCTCTCTCCCCTGCAGCCGCTGGTGGGTTCAAACTGCTGATCTTTCAGTTAGTAGCCGAGCATGTAACCACTGCACCACCAGGACTCCCTTCCGTAAAGTTTACAGCCTAGCAAACCCTATGGGGCAGTTCTATTCTGAAACACATGGGTTCGCTGTGAGTCTAAGATCAACTTGATGGCACCTGACAGCAACAGCAACTGTATGTCTGCAGACATGTCTCCTTCCATAGAGACTTCCATAGTAAACGTAGACAGCATTCCCAGCCCGCTATCAGGCACTATTCTCTTGTCACAGTGGATCCCTGTTGTACGTGGGGAAAACTAAGGCCTAGGAGTTAGTCTGGTGCTGTTATTTATTAAGAGATTACTAGGCACTGTTTTTGTTTGTTTGTTACAGACGCCACCTGACCTCTGAGTTAACTCTCATGAAATCCTTTCAAAGAAGCCTGGGTGGCACAAACGGTTTGCATTTAACTGTTAACCTTTAGTTCAAACCCACCCAAACAGTGTCACAGAAGAAAGGCCTGGTGATCTGCTTCCATAAAGATTATAACCAACAAAATGCTGTGGAGCAGTTGTATTCTGTAACGCATGACGTTGCCGCCATGAGTCACAATCCACTGGAGGGCAACAGGTTGTGGTGGTTGTTTTTTAATCTTCATGTGATTCATGGCAGCCCACTTTTCATTTAGCAGATGAGGAGACAGGCTGGAGAGGTTCAGTAATGGGTGGGTCACACAGGGGTCTGATTCCTGACTAGCCAGGCTGAAGCCCTTTACCATCCCACACAGGCAAGATGCCCAGACTCAATTTGCCAAAACTCCCTCTGTGCCAATCCAGTGCTGGGGGATACTGGGACCCCTAAGGAGGAGCCCCAAGGCTGGTGGTGACAGCCAGCAGTCTCCTCCTGCCTTGTGGGTTTAGGATTCGGTTCAGGTGGATGGACGACTAGGAGTGTGTAAAGAGAATCTGGGAGGCCTTCCTGGAGGAGGGGAATGCTAGATTTTTATCAAACAGGACGGGCCTTCCCCAGCATGATCCAGCCTAAGAAAAAGCCTGAGCCTGAGGTCTCTGGGTAGGACTTGAGAGGCACGCTCAGAGATTAGCTTCTTGGGACCAGGGGGAGGACGTGATTGGATTTACATTTTGGGGGATGAGAGCTAAGATCCTTGACCCAATGTTGAGGTGCCGCCAACGTCCCGCCCCACCGCCCAGGGACCTAGCAACACCCCGCCCCCGCCGCCCGCGGCCCTAGCAACGCTCCGCCTTCACCGCCCGCGGCCTTGCAACGTCCCGCCCCTCCACCCGCGGCCATAGCAACGCTCCACCCCTGGGTCGACACGTGTGTCCTGCGGGCCCGCCCCTGCATGGCCCCGCCTCCGCGCTTGCTGGGCCAGTTCTGGGGCGCGCTCTTCCTCCTCCTCCCCTGGCCCTATCCTCGCCCCGGGCGCGCGCCGACCCCTCTTCACTGCGGGGGCCCTGCTCCCGGGCGGAGCCTGCTGGCCGAGGTTCGAGCCCCGCGCTTCCCGAACTTCGGCGGTGGTGGCAGCGGCGGCACAAAGGGAAAAGGCATGTCCGACCCCAGCTACTGGACGGCAGTGGCGGCACCCGGCCACCGGAGCCGCCTGGCCAAGGGTGCGCTGCTACAGCGCTCCAAGAGGTAGGGGGGCTGCCCGAGCACAAGTGTGTCCCGGCGGCGGCGGGCGGGAACCTAGCGGTCCAGCGTGGCGGCTGGGGAATGGTGTCTCAGACATCCTCCTTTTGCACTCCCCCTTCCCCGCCTGGGACTTCGGTGTCTGGAGTGTCTCCGAATGCAGGGGTGGGAGTGGAGAGGCACTGGCGACTTGGGACTGAGATAGGATTTGAACCCAGGTCTTTATACTAGGAGGAAACGGGGACCGAGTTCTTGGAAAAACTGAGGCTGGTCTGCCTGGGGGACAGTCAGCGGAAATATTGGTTCAGAAGAGATACTTACTGCACAAGACTAGCGTGGGGGTGGGTATTAGGAGCTCAGATCGCTGCATTTGACCCCAGGCCTTTGAGCCTCAGTTTTCCCGTCTTAAAGGCAGAGAGACATTACCCCACCTAAATTGGACTTCCAGCTTCTCTCAGGCTTTGTAGCCTCAGGCAGTGCCCCAATCTGTCTGGTTAGTGACTGGTAAACCCAGGCTCTGAGGATCAGAAACAGGGCAGTTGGACCTTCCAAGTGGGGACACAAGCAAAGGCTTAACCGTGGGACCAGCTTCTGAAGGGCTTCAAATTCGGATTCCTGGTGCTGACCATGTGTGAGCAGGTCAGGGGTGGGGTGCAGGAATCTGGCTCCAGACCCCGCTTCCTGCCATGTTCTCCCCCTTTCTTGTGTCCTGTGTACTGCAGTGATGATTTCTGAATGGTCAAGCCGAGGGCTCAGTATAAGGAGGGCTGAGCCAACAGTTGGCACTTGTCATATGCTTGAGGAGTAAACGGATGAGGCCCAGTTCCCCTTGGAAACCTCAACTTTGACTGTGTTTTCAGGAAGGCCTCACCTGTAAGCCACAGGGAGAGCAACTAATATTTTTCCCACATGCTGTTGGAAGCGGTAGGGCTGTGGTGTGCAGGATGGGGGTGAGGCCCTGAGCAAGGGGTCTGGTGAGGACATAGAGGACCCATGATGAGTGTGTGTGGGGGGGAAGTGTGAGCAGGAAGTTTTGCACGGGCCTTGGGGTTTCACTTTTGTTTTTTCTGTACCTCAGTCAGGAGAGCAGTCCTGTGGCTGTTGACATCTAAAGGCCTCAGTTTCCCTAGCTGAGAAATTGGTACAACTCTTCTTGTTCTTGCCTCTGGGGCTTGTTGGGATTGATACCTGTTGGTGGCTTAATTCTCTCAGAAACAGCTAAATTCTCTGTTTTCTCTTATCTGGGCCCTATGAACGCTGTCAGGAGAAAGACAGTAACATATATACCTGCCATGATTTCCCCAAGGCCAGCTGGTCCCTCCTTGGGTGTCACAAACAGTTCTCGACCACTAAGCAAAAGGTTGCCGGTTTAAACCCACTTAGTGGCACTGTGGAAGCTCTGGTGGCGTAGTGCCTAAGGCACTTGACTGCTAACTAGAAGGCTGACGGTTCAAACCCACCAGCCACTCCTCGGAAGGAAAGTTGGGCAATCTGCTTCCGTAACGATACTGCCTCGGAAACCCAAGGAGGGGGTCGCTGTGAGTCGGATTTGATTTGATGAAAGTGAGTTTGGTTTGGTTTGGTTTGGTTTTAGTGGCACTGCAGAAGAAAGGCCTGGCAGTCTGCTCTGTGAAGATCACAGCCAAGTTCAGTTCTACCTGGTAGCACATAGAGTTGCCGTGAGTTGGTGTTGACCCAATGGCAATGGATTGGATTTGATTTTTTTAGGCCCAGAACTGAACACAACCCAACCAAAGTTTGGGTGAGTCGAATCTTCCCTCCATTGTTCAAGGTCTATTGTTGTCATTGTTAGTTGGCTAAGTCAATTCTGACCCCTGGTGACCCCACGAGTCAGAGTAGAACTGCTCTGTGGGGTTTTCAAGGCTGTGATGTTTCAGACTTTCAGAAACAGATTGCCAGGGCTTTTCTTCTGAGGCCCTCTGGGTAGCTTTGAACTACCCAGTTTTGGCTAGTAGTCAAATGCTTAACCATTTGTGTTACCCAAGAATTCTTTCCCATTGGTCTATGGATGGGGAAACAGGAGGACACAGACAGTCCTCCCTCTTCTCTCGCCCTTCCATCTGTGTCCCCATGTTGCTTGCGGACCCTTCCCCTCAGCCAACAGTGCATCTTCCTCCTGGGACACCCTTCCTGCCCCCTGGGCCCCATGGCCCCATCCCTTCCTCCCTGCCTGGCTCTCCTGCCTTGTAGAGCTGCGTTGGCGGCTCAGGCTGTGTGGGCTGATGCGCTTGTCAACCTAGCAAGCAGAGTCGTTGCCTGGTAACTGCACTGGGGGGTGGGACAGTGTTGATCCCGACTTCCCTGACTTCCCTCAGCCAGGGTGGAGACCAGGGGAAGTGACCTGGGCTGAGGATCTGGTGGAGACCTGGATGCAAGGCGGGAAATGTGGTGGCAAAAGTTAGGCAGAACAAGAAGAAAAAGACATAATTGTAAAAGATGTTGACCTTGGGGTTATAGTTGGGTTAGATTGGTGTTTTGGGGAGACCAGGAGAATGGGGAGGTTCCTGGGTGCTCAACTGCTAACCTAAGGGTTGGAGTTTCTAACCCACCCAGCAGCGCCTCAGAAGATAGGTCTGGCAATCTGCTTCCAGAAGGATGACATCCAAGAAAACCCCACAGACCCATTCTGTCCTGTAACGCAGGGGGTGACAAGGGGTCAGAATCTACTCAACAGCAACAAGGTTGTTTTTTTTTTTTTTTTTTAAGGGAGAATGAGGGGTTGCAAAGGGATGGGGATGGCCAGCCCCAGAGAGTGGGTGCATGGAATGGAGTAGCGGTAGGGGCAGCTTCAGTCCATCTGTGGGCTCCGGGGTCTTGTCCACCTTCTGCGTAGGAGCAGTTCTCTGGTGCTCCAGGTGGGGGTGACAGCGTGGGCAAAGATGGGAGGGATAGGGTTGGGACACTGCAGCAGAGAGGCTGGGCCAGGGGCTCCCGCTCATGTGCAGAGGAGCTCCCCTACCACCAGCACCTCCCGCTAATAACAATCATAGTAACGGTTCAGTGGTAGAATTCTCGCCACCGATGCCCAGCCAGGTTCCGTTGCAAGCCGCTTAATGTGGTTAGCAAGACAACTAGCCCTTGCTAGCTGCTTATGCTTATTCTTAGCCCGGGTTCGATTCCTCATACGCAGGTAACACCCATTTGTCAGCAGAGGCTTGTGTGTTATGTGCTGTTGAATAGGTTTCACCGCAGCTTCCAGACTGAGGCAGATGAGGAAGAATGGCCTGGCCGTCGCCTTCTGAAAATCAGCCAGTGAAAACCCTATGGATCCCAACAGTGTGATCCACAGCGGATCGTGGGCATAGTGCAGGGCTGGGCAGCATTTCCTTCTCTTGTGTATGGCGTTGACGTGAGTTGGGGCTGACTGGACAGCAGCTAACAACAGCGATAATACATTTAGTGATAGGTCATGTTTGTGCAGTGCTGGGCCTCAAAAGCCAGGCTACGGCTGTGGGGAGCCCATCGGGTGGCCTGAGTGGGTGGGGTGGGCCCAGCTTCTGAAGCTGGCTGCATTTGGGCATTTGGGTCCAGTTGGACACTTGGACCTCTGAGCCCCAGGCCTGGTCCAGCCTCTGACCAATCCCCCTTACAAACACAGTTGCCGCAGCGGGAACCGCAAAAGCCTGGTAGTAGGAACACCCTCACCGACCCTCTCTCGGCCCCTGTCACCGCTGTCAGTCCCAACGGGTGAGTTGGAAGGCGTCGGGCAGTTGGGCATGGCATCCTGCCTCCCACTCCCCTGATTACGTTCCCCGCCTTGTCTGCAGCAGGCAGCAGTCCCCTGGACAGTCCTCGGAACTTCTCTGCCACGTCCGCCATCAACTTCCCCTTTGCCCGGAGGTGAGTGGGGGCCAGCCTTGGGGTATGGTGGCGGTCCACCTGGCGAGGCGACCCACAGGGCATGTAATAGGTGACTGGACCCACCTTCTCATTCCCATTCTCCCCTCCCCTGGCCCCTGCCTGGCTGTTTCTCCCTCCGGCTTGTGCCCTGGCTGGCAAACACTCGACTGCCTGCAGCCACCTTCCACGCACCGACAGGTAATTTCTGCCAGCTCCTAGGGCAGCTCCTGGGGTGTTCAGTCCAGTTCAAGTATAATTTATTTGTCAAAAACCATTCATTCACTCAAGACCTTGATCTCACACTTACTATGCACCAGCACTTCAACTTTACTTATTTGTGCAACATTCATCAAGTCCCCATTGTGTGCCCTGTACTGTTCTGAGGACTGAACACACAGCCATGAGCCGGAGGCTGAACTTTGGCTCTCTGAGAGTCCTCAGTCTGCTGGGGGCAACTAACATAACCAACTGGCCAGCTACAACCCAGAGAGGTTACAGCTTTGATAAGGGGCACAGTGGCAGCTAGAGTCAAAGAGGGCTTCCTCGAGAAGGTGTCTTGCTTGTGGCTTTCTTTGCAGCTTTTTCAGATAAGGCCAGAATCCCCCTGCCTTGGTGTCTCCCGTTAGTACGTACAAAACACGGGTGCTGTGCCTGCCTTCACCATGTTCTTGTTCCCCCTTCAGGGCAGATGGCAGAAGATGGTCTCTCGCATCCCTCCCATCATCTGGCTATGGAACCAACACCCCCAGCTCCACTGTCTCGGTACCTGCAGCCCCATCTTGGCAGTGTGGACAGGCAACAGTGGGAAGTTCAGTCTTAGCCTTTTAAGACCCCCTAGTCTGGGGAACATAAATAGCCTCAGCCTGTGGAGTCAAGGCCTGGCCATAGGGACACTTGGAACCATTAAGGAGGGGGAAGGCATGGAGGGCTTCCTGGAGGAGGGGGCATTATTTGAGCTAGGGTTCTGAAGGATGAGTAGGAATCAGGCAGGAAGAAATATGTTACTGTCTGAGGGGCTGACAGGCAGCCTAGGTCTTGCAGGACAGGGGAGGGAGCAAGAGGGATAGGCATGGAAGGCTTCCTGGAGAAGGGGGGCATTGGAGCTGGGTTTTTGAGGGATGCATAGAAGTCGGGCAGGAGGAAGTGTGTGACTGTGTGAGGAGCTGGCAGGCAGTGTCAGCCTTTCAGGCAGAGTTGGGGGTCTGGCTGTGATGCTGACCATGTACTTGTGACCCTGCCCCCTTAGTCAAGCTCTTCCTCCCGGGAGCGCCTCCACCAGCTACCCTTTCAGCCCACGCCAGACGAGCTGTGTTTCCTGTCCAAGCACTTCCGCAGCTCCGAGAGTGTGGCTGACGAGGACGGTGGCCGCTCACCCCGCCTGCGCCCACGTTCCCGCAGTCTCAGGTGGGCCTCAGCTGCTGACACCAAGCCCTGGCCCCTCCCTGTACTGACTCTGGCTCCTCCCCCACCTGTAGCCCCCACACACACACCCTGGGCTAGGTCTCAGGCCCCACATCATGAGCCAATCCTTCCCTCTTCAGCCCGGGCCGCACATCCGGGACCTTCGACAATGAGATCGTCATGATGAACCATGTGTACCGGGAGAGGTTTCCCAAGGTGGGCAGGGCTGAGGGTCTGGTTAGTGACTGGTGGCTGGGCCAACCCCAATCATCCACATCATTCACTGTCACCCTATCTGTGTCTCCTATTTGTCTATTTCTCTTTCTGTATCTCTGTCTCGGATGCCTTATCTATGCATGTCATCCCCCCATCCTCTGACTCCCTGCCACATCTGTCCCTCACTCTGTCTCCCTGCCTGTCTCCCTTGCCCCTGTCCATCTGTGTTACTCCCTGATTCCATCCTTTGATGGTGACGCCCTCGTCCAACCCCACCCAGGCCACGGCACAGATGGAGGGCCGCCTGCAGGAGTTCCTGACAGCCTTTGCACCCGGTGACCGGCTGGCACTGGCTGACGGTGTTCTGGGCTTCATCCATCACCAGATTGTTGAGCTGGCCCGTGACTGCCTGGCCAAGTCGGGCGAGAAGCTCATCACCTCCCGCTACTTCCTGGAGATGCAAGAGAAGCTAGAGCGCCTGCTTCTGGATGTGCGTGGGGGGCAAGGGGTCCTGGGGAAGTGGGGAAGAGCCAGGGGGCCTGTGGGTGATGCCACCCTCTGCCTGCCCCCAGGCCCATGAGCGCTCAGACAGCGAGGAGGTTGGCTTCGTTGTCCAGCTCGTGCGGAAGCTACTGATTATCATTTCTCGGCCAGCACGGCTCCTTGAGTGTCTGGTGAGTCCCTTGGCACGTGACGAGGTAGTAGGGGTCCCCAATGGCCCTGCTGTGTTGATCCCCCAACACTCACAAGATGGCTGTCATCATGGAGAGCTTTGAGAAGGATACAGGATGCTTCTGGGCTGGGAGTGGCTTTCTAGAGATGGGGTAGGAAACTGAGACCTGGACAGAGGGAACAGCATGTTCACAGAGGGAATAGTATGTGTAAGGAAGTGAGGCTTGGTCGGAGGGAACAGCATGTGCACAGAGGGACCAGCACGTGCAAGGACTTGAGTCATATTCAGAGGGAACAGCAAGTGTAAAGGCCCCAGTGGTTGGATGAATCTGGTGGCCTGGCTGACTGGACCCCCTGTGCTCCTAGGAGTTTGACCCAGAGGAGTTTTATCACCTGCTGGAGGCGGCTGAGGGCCAAGCGCGTGAGGGCCATGGCATCAAGACAGACCTGCCCCAGTACATCATTGGGCAGCTAGGCCTGACCAAGGACCCTCTTGAAGGTGAGCTGGGGTGGGAACAGGATGGAGTCACTTTCCAGAGAGGCAGGAATAGAGCTTGGATCCTGACCTGGACTTACCTAGCTCCACAGCCTTGCACACTGTCCTTCAGTTCTGTGGCCTGTCCCTTAGCCACCTGCAAGGCCTGCTGGGGTCGAGATAGCTGGGACTTAAGGTCCAACAGCCCCAAGTCAGACTGCCTGAGCTGCCTGGGCCCCAGAGAACTCAGTGTGGTTAAGCATCAAGTCTAAAGGGGCTGAAGGCTGGGGGACATCCATTAGCAGTGGTCCTATGAGTACACAAACCTCATCTCACTGGCCCAGGAGGGGACTTGGAATTGGATGAAGAAAAGCCATGAGTGAGACAAACCTGGCTGAAGCTTCCCCCAAATGGCCAGGCTGGAAGAGCTGGGGCATGGCATTAGGAGAGTATCAAATGAGGACCTGACCTGGTCTAGGGGTGGCCAGCAGGTGTGTGGGAGGAAGTTCTGTTGGAAGTGGTAGAAGAGGTGACCTGGTACAGATCTGAGGGAGAGGTGAATAGGCAGAGGAACAGCACGTGCAAAGGCCCCGTGGTAGGTCCATGCTTGGCGTGCTGGAGGAGCAGCAGCGAGGGGTAGTGGGACTGGAGCAGAGGAGAGAGGGGAGCTGGGAGAGCCAGGGGCTTCGGCAGGGGCCAGACACACTGCAGTTGTAACACCTTTGCTATGTTAAATCCCAGGACAGGGCTGTTGTCCTCATTTAAAGCTGAGGAGACTCAGCTTTTCCACATAAACGAAATTAAGCAGGGCTTCAGACCGTGTGGACCAGCTAGCGCTGTGCTGCCCTGCCGAGCCCTAATTCTCCTATCTGTCCAATGGATGTAATGTGAATGGCAAGTATAGCTTGTCCTGGGTATATGGAGGCAAGAAATGGCTAGGTGAGCAATGGCTAAGGCTAAGGCTAAGGCTGTGGGCCTCATCTGTCAGGCTCCGATACCATGTCCCAGCCTTGCTTGGTGGCTACAAGACAGTGCCTTCATCACCACCATCCAGCTCACATCCCTCTGCTAAGCCCTGGGGGATGGAAAATACCAGAACTGCCCCCTGAGCTGTGCCCTGGGGTGGACAGAACGTTACAAGCCAAGACCCAGAGGGCCCTCTTCACGGGCCCTAGGCTCAGAGCCAGGGTTTGGTCATGGCTGAGCAATGCACCTTCTACAAGATTTCTCAGCTGTTGCTTAGTCCAGCCTCTGGAGGTCTGGCCGAGAACTGAGCACACCACAAGATCTGGGGGAGAGGACTACAGTGTTCCCAGCCCAGGACAGGCCCTGAGGCCTCAAGGAATCTCTGGGTGATGAACGGTGTGACCTGAGAGGGTTGGTGACCAAATTCCTCCCTTGTCTTGCAGAGGTGGTGCCACTGAGTCACCTTGATGGTGGACAGGTCCCTACACCTGAGTCCCCAGAGGTGAGTTTCAGAGCTTTGGGCTCCCCACCCTTCTTGCCTCCCCAGAGTAGATCAGGCAGCTGCTGGAGGAACTGAATTTGCTAAAGTTTTACACATAGTCAGAGATTAATAAAATGCCTGTAACTTTGGGAGGAGGTGGGGGTGAGTAGGACTGCCCCATGGAGGGTGGGTGGGGTAGGACTGTAGGGGGCACTGGGAAGGTGAGTTTTGTAGAACGTTTAGGAGCTGGGAGGAAGGGCACAGTCTGAACAAAAGCTCATAAACCTTGAAGCAGAGTTTGAGCTGTTTGGATGAAGGAGAAAGTTGTGTTGGGCACTAGAATTAGTTGTTTGAATGACTGGAGGGTGCACTGGGAAGCTGAGTTTTGAAGGACGTGTAGGAGTTGGCTGGGAGGAAGAGCACAGCTTGAGCAAAACCTCAGAAGTGGTTTGGATTGGTAGAGGAAGTGTTAGGTGCTGGAAATAGCAGTTTGGACTGGCTGGAAGGGGCACTGGGAAGGTAGAGTGAGTTTTGAAGGACGTATAGGAGTTTGCTGGGAAGAAGGACAAAGCTTGAGCAAAAGCTCAGAAACGTAGAAGCAGAGTATGGATGGTTTGGAAAGGGGGGGAGGGCCCAGGATGAGCAGTTTGGACTCAGAGCCAGGGGGACACTTAGCCCTTCCTGCCCCCCACAGAGCCGGGCCCTGGTTGGCCCATCTCGGAGGAAGCCATGTGAGAACGACTTTGAGACCATCAAGCTCATCAGCAATGGGGCCTATGGGTAAGTCCTTGGGTCTGCCATGGACCCATTTCTTAGATGCCCATGGAGATGACTGAGGCTCAGGTGGGCCCTGTGTCAGCTCCCACCCCAACAGAGCTTTTGTGCATTCACCCCGGAGTGTGTAGACTGGGAACTGAGGCCTGGAGAGGGAAGTAGAGACACATATGATAGGGAGTAGACACAGATGGGCTCTGTCCACAGTGCACACTCTTACCCACCCCAGAAAGGTGTGTGTGTTGGGGAGGTGGCTTAAACCCATGGGGTGGCTGCTCAGGAGAAGGGACAGATGAAGAGAGAGGGTGTCCTGGGTGGAGGCACAGGCCAGGCAAAGGCCTGGTAAATGGGACTCTGGACCTAGGCTTGGCCCCGCCCCCCACCTCTGGTTCCCTGCAGTGCCGTCTATCTAGTTCGACATCGTGACACGCGGCAGCGTTTCGCCATCAAGAAGATCAACAAGCAGAACCTCATTCTGCGTAACCAGATCCAGCAGGTGTTCGTGGAGCGTGACATCCTCACATTTGCCGAGAACCCCTTCGTGGTTAGCATGTTCTGTTCTTTCGAGACTCGGCGCCACCTCTGCATGGTTATGGAGTACGTGGAAGGTGCGGACACTGGTACTTGCTTGAATGCCCCTAGAGATGGGGTGCTCACCCCCTAACTGGGAGAACATCCTTCTTCAGACCAAGCCGGGGTCTGCTCTGTCCATTGTGGCGTGGGGTCCAAGACCTACAGTGTGGGACCCTTAGGAGCCCCCAGTCTGGAGTGGAGGGCCCTGCCAGGAGGGGAGGCAATGAAAAGAGATGTGTAAGAGGATTGGTCCAGGCAGAAGGAAGCAGAGGGCAGAGGCTTAGAGGAGGGAAATGAGAATCCTAGGAGGTATGGTTGGAAGGCTAGGAAGCTTAGGGCCAGGGCTAGGTGTTACAAGATCAGATTTCTGGAAAATTTTTTTTTTTTTTTTGCCTTCCCTTCACCCAAGTTATTATGCATCTGCTTTTTAATTAGTGGTTTACCCTCCCTTCCCCTCCTGCCCCTGGTAACCATCAAAAAATACTTCTTTTTGTGTGAAACCCTTTTCTTGACTTTTTACAATAGTGGTTTCATACAGTATTTGTCCTTTTGTGACTGACTGACTTCACTCGGCATAATGTCCTCCAGGCTCATCCATGTTATGGGATGTCACAGGTTCATCCTTGATCTTTACCATCACAGTGTTCCGCTGTGTGTAGATACCATAGGTTGTCAATCCTTTCCTCTGTTGATGGGCATTTAGATTAGTTCTTTTTGCTGTTGTGAATAGTGTTGCCATGAGCATGTGTATGCATGTGTCTGTTTGTGTCACACCTCTTGTTTCTCTAGGGTATTGTTCTGGTTACGTAGTGCCACTCTGACAAGAATATACCACAAATGGGATGGCCTTAACAAACAGGAGTTTATTCTCTTACAGTTTGAGAGGCTTTAAGTCCAAGTTCAAAGTGCCAGGCTCTAGGGGCTGGGTGAAAGCCGTTCGACATTGGGCTTCAGCTCTGCCTCTAGCTCCCAGCTCACTGAAGCTAGAGTCTTTTCTTCACTTACAGAGATGCTGGCTGCTGAGGCTAACAAGCCCAAGGTTGACAAATAAGGCACAATAAGGCACAGTCCCGATGTTACAAACCACATGGCAGGTCATTAATTTAAGTGCATTATAAGTCCCAAGGTCAGCAGAACATGGCAGGCTGCTGAACAACGACATGGCTACATGCAGGTTCCAAGGTGCCATAGGCTAGAGACCGTTCCCCAAGGCTCCTGCTTATTATACAGGAAGCACAGCACATACCCAAAGCAGCTACTCACTTGCTTGTGGTGGATCCCCCCGTGGAGTTGATTGCCAGTCTCATCATGGGGAATAACTACCACCAGCTGCCCAGCCACTTAACCAGGCCCAGCCAAGTTGGCACACAAACGTAACCACCACAGATACATACCTACTAGCGGGATGGCTGGGTTATGTGTTATTTCTGTTAGCAGCTCTTTAAGGAAGCACCATACTGCTTTCCACAGTGGTTGTCCCATTTTGCAATTCCACCAGCTGCATATGAGGGTTCCAGTCTCTCCACACCCTCGCCAGCATTTCTTGTTTCCTGTATTTTCTGATTTTGCTATTAGTGCTGGGGTGAGATGATATCTCATTTTGATCTGCATTTCTCTAATGACTAATGATCGTGAGCATTGCTTCACCTCTTTGTTAGCTGCCTGAATGTCTTTTTTGATGAAATGTCTGTTTATGTCCTCTGCTCATTTTTAAATTGGATTGTTTGTCTTTTTTTGTTAAGATGTTGAAGTTTTCCTTAAGTTTAGGGATTAGCCCCTTATTCCGTGTTGGTGCCAAAATTTTTTCCCAGTCTGTGGGTTCCTTATTTACTGTTCTGGTGAAATCTCAATGTGCATAAGTGTTTGATTTTCAGGAGGTTCCAGTCATCTATTTTGTCTTCTGGTGTTTGTGCATGTTTAGTGTATTAATGCCATGAGTTAGGGCCCCTCAGTTTGCCTCTACATTTTCTTTTGATGGTCTTTATGGTTTTAGGTTTTACACTTAGGTCTTTGATCTAGCTTGTGTTCATTTTGATATATGGTGTGAGATAATGGGCCTGCTTTCATTTTTTTTTACAAATGGATTTCCATTTTGCCAGCACTACTTATTAAAGAGATTATGTCTTCCCCATTTTTGACTTTTGGCCCTTTTGTCAAAGATCGGCTGTCTACAGATGCATGGATTTACTTCTGACTTCTCGATTCTGTTCCATTGGTCTGTGTGTGTGTGTCTGTGTTGAACCAATACCAGGTTGTTTTAACTAATGTAGTAGGTTTTGAGATTGGGGAATGTGAGACCTCCTACTTTCTTCTTCTTTAGTAGTGCTGTACTTCTCTGGGGTCTCTTTCCTTTCCCTATAATGTTGGTGATTAGTTTTTCTATCTCTTTAAAAAGAGATGATGGAATCTGGATTGGGATTGCATTATATCTATAGATCACTTGGATAGTATTGACATTTTCACGATGTTAAGTTGTCCTATCTATGAACATGGTATATTTTTCTATTTATGTTGATCTCTTTCAGTTTCTTACAATAGTGTTTAGTGGGAGCTCTGGTGGCATAGTGCCTGAGGCATTTGGCTGCTAACCAGAAGGCTGATCGTTCAAACCCACCAGCTACTCCTCAGAAGGAAGATTGAGCAATCTCCTTTTTGTGTGTAGATCTTTTGTGTCTCTGGTTAGATCTATTAAGAAGTACTTCATCTTTTGGATGGTTATTGTAAATGGTTTTGCCTTCCTGACTTCCTCTTCAGAGTTCTCTTTATTAAGGTACAGGAATCTGACCGATTGTGTATGTTGATCTTGTACCCTGCCACTTTGCTGAAACTTTCAGTTGTTCCGGTAATTTTACTGAGTTTTTGGGATTTTCTATGCATCGACCATATCATCTGCAAATAGAAGTAGTTTTACTTCTTTGCCAATTTGGATGCCTTTTATTTCCCTTCCTTGCCTTTTTGGCTCTGGCTGGGACTTCCAGTACGATATTGAATAGGCGTGGTGATGAAGGGCATCCTTATCTGGTTTCCATTCATAAGGGAAATGCTTTCAGTCTGTCCCCATTGAGAATAATGCTGGCCATTGGTTTTGCATATATGCCCTTAATAATTGTTCAGGAATTTTCTTCTATTTCTATTTTGTTTAGTGTTTTTATCAGCAATGGCTGTTGGATTTTGTTAAATGCCTTTTCCGCAGCGATACGATCATGTGGTTCTTTTCCATTGTTTTATTTATGTGATGGATTACATTGATTGTTTTTCTGACATTGAACCATCCTTGCATACCTGATAGGAATCCCACTTAGTCATGCTGTATTTTGTCTGATACGTTGTTGGAGCCTATTGCCTAGAATTTTGTTGAGAAATTTTGCATCTGTGTTCATGAGGAATATTGGTCTGTACTTTTCTTTAGGTTTCAGGGAAATTCAAAGCCAGATCAGGTCAGGAAAATCACAGTGCAGGCAGGGTTGCCCCCTGGCCCCCCATCCTGACTCTGACACTTCGGGACACCTTGTATCAGGCTGGAGAGGGTGCAGGCGTGGGCAGGGCCAGTGCAAAGGAGCAGGGTGCTCCCAGCCCAGGGCCCTCATGGACGCATCCAACCCCCTCCCCAGGAGGTGACTGTGCCACACTGCTGAAAAACATGGGCCCGCTGCCCGTGGACATGGCCCGCATGTACTTTGCCGAGACGGTGCTGGCGCTCGAGTACCTGCACAACTATGGCATCGTTCACCGTGACCTCAAGCCAGACAAGTGAGCTTGCTCAGTGGGTCAGGGGGTGCTGAGCAGCTGCATAGAGGGTGGGGCCTCAGGGTGGAACGGGGGAGGACCTGGGAGTGGGTGAGGCCTGGGTAAAAAGTGGGACCTTGGACAACTGGTGGGGAGTTTTAGGGCAGCTCCAGGGTGGGCCCCAGGGTGGACAGTGCCCAGATTAGGGTGGGGCTATGGGGGTGGAGCCAGATTGGATCAGGATAGGCAGGGTCTGAGCAAGAAGTTGGGGCTTAGAAGTGGCCAGGTCCTGAGGCAGTAGCTCAGGGATGAGACTTTGAAGTGGGCGGGGCTTAAGGCAGCTGGGGCAGGACCTCCAGGCAGATCAGGAGAAGATCTCAGGGATGAAAAGACCCAGGGTGGTTGGTGGTGGGGTCAGGGGCTAGGGTAGCTGAGGTAGTTGGGAGAGGGGTGTGGAGGTCAGGTCAGAACTGGCTAAAACTGGATGCCTCTGGCATCATGAGGTCTCTGCTGGGTACAGAGGAAGAAAATGTCCATGTGTTGAATACCTGGTGTGTACAGAGGAGAGAAGAGCGGGCGCTTAGCAAGCACCTGCTGTATACAAGGGAAGGAGAGTACATTTATGGAGGTGCTGTCAGGCAAAGGAAGGGAACGTGCATTTAGGAAGCACCAGCTGCCTTCAGGGAAAGGGATCATGCACTCAGTGGGCCTAATAAGTGAAGAAGGGAATGTGCACTTAGGAGGCCCCTGCTGTTTGCAAGGAACAGGGACACATATCTCACAACTCCTTCTTACATCGGAGGAAAGGGACCAGGTACATTTTGAGCACCTGCTGTGTGTTTGTGATCAAGGAAAAATCAAAGGAAGAAGACACGGTGGCTGAGAGCTTGGGACATTCATTTCCTTCTTGCATTTAGTAAGCACCTACTGTGCTTTAGGGAGCTCTGGTGGCATAGTGCTTAAGGCATTTGACTGCTAACCAGAAGGCTGGTGGTTCAATCCCACTAGCCACTCCTCGGAAGGAAGATTGGGCAATCTGTTTCCCTAGAGATACTAACTCAGAAACCCAAGGAGTTTCAAATCTACTCAATGGCAGTGAGTCTGTTTTTTTTTTTAACTGTGCTTTACCTTCAAGTGGCAGGTGGACCCAGGAGGTATACACAAAAATGTGACTTTGTAAAGATGGCATGTTCAATTCTGTTGCTTAGAAAACATTTATATGCTTAAGCTTTAAACAGCAGAAGATACAGTAGGTGCATTAAAACGTGCACACAAGGTGCACAGAAATACTTCTTTATATAGCAGGTGCTCAGAGTGTGTCCATTTTTGAACAGGGAATATGAATAATAGGTGCTTGCGGGTGTTTTTGTTGAAATAATGGATGCCTATGCTCACTATACTGAAATGTGCTGTGAATACAGCCAGTACCCAAGCCCAAACCAAACCCATGACCGTTGAGTCCATTCTGACTCATAGCCATCCTAATGACAGAGTAGAACTGACCCATAAGATTTCTAAGACTGTAAATCTTTACAGAAGCAGATGGTCTCATCTTTCTCCCACAGGGAAGCTGGTGGGTTCGAACCACCAACCTTGTGCTTGGCAGCCCAGTGCTTTAACCCTAGTGCCACCAGAACTCCTAAATACACCCAGTAAACCAAAAACCAAACTCAATGCCATTGAGTCGATTTCAACTCATAGTGACCCCTTATTGGGTTTCTGAGGCAGTTATCACTATGGAGGCAGATTGCCCAATCTTCCTTCTAAGGAGTGGCTAGTGGGTTTGGACCACCAGCCTTCTGGTTAGCAGTCAAATGCCTTAGGCACTATGCCACCAGAGCTCCTAATACACCCAGTAGGACTTGGGAAATGTTTTAACAAATGGTAGGTAGACACTGTGATTCTAAGGAAGTACATTTTTGAACAGCTGAGCGTATAGTAAAAAATCAGTTGCCCTTGAGTCAAGGTGATACAGCAACTCCATGTGCGTCAGTGGAGAACTGCGCCATGAGGCTTTTAGTGGCTGCTACTTCTGGAAGTAGATTGATTGCCAGACCTTTCTTTCAAGGAGCTTCTGGGTGGGCTCGAACTTGTTGCCTTCTGGTTAGCAGCCAAGCACATTAACCATTTGTACCACCCAGGGATTCCCAAATATACAGTAAGTGCTCAGTAATACCACCAGATGCACCCAGTGTCCAGAGATGTCTGCTTTGTAATACAGTAGCTGCTTGAGACCTGTTTGTTCCTTTGATAAGGTGGCTGTGCATACAAGGTCATGTCTGATCCCTTCTCAGCCTGGGGTGCCTCAGTTTCCCCAGCCTGAGTGAACCACCTTCCTGCCTACAGCTTGCTCATCACCTCTCTCGGCCATATCAAGCTGACCGACTTTGGCCTGTCTAAGATTGGGCTCATGAGCATGGCCACCAACCTGTATGAGGGCCACATCGAGAAGGATGCCCGGGAGTTCTTGGACAAGCAGGTACGCTGGGTGTGGGCAGGTAGGGCAGCCCTGGATACAGAGCCCACCTATCTTTGCCTGGAGCTCACCTCCTGGGCATGGGGAGGATTATGTCCCTCCTGCAACGCACACCCTGCCCCCACCCTGACCTCAGTTTCCCTGTTCCGCTGGCCTAGGTGTGTGGTACACCCGAGTATATCGCGCCTGAGGTGATCTTCCGCCAGGGCTATGGGAAACCAGTGGACTGGTGGGCCATGGGCGTCGTCCTCTACGAGTTTCTGGTGGGCTGCGTGCCCTTCTTTGGGGACACACCCGAGGAGCTCTTCGGCCAAGTTGTCAGTGGTACGTCCCCCCGGGGCCCTGAGTTTGATTCTCAGCCCACGGTGGTTTGGGGAAGGAGTTCCCTGAGCCATCCAGGGAGAACAGTCCCACCTGTGGATTTGGCATCTATCATGTGCCTGATTCCAGCTGGGCACTGAGGACATGGTCAAGAGCAAATAAGACACATACCCCATCCTTGTGCTTCTCCCTGTCTAATGGGGAGGACAAAGAATGAGTGAGAGCAACAGGAACTTAGAGCATTCAGAGGTGAAAGGAGTCCCTGGGCAGCACAGCTAAGTGCTTGACTACAAGCAGGAAGGTTAGTGGATAGTGGTTCAAACTCAGCCAAAGACACCTCAGAAGACAAGCCTGGCATTTTGCTACCAAAAGGTCACAGCCTTGAAAGCCCTGTGGAGCAATTCCACTCTGCACACGTGGGGTCGCCCTGAGTCAGTAGGCATGACAGCAACTAACAAAAGAAGCAGGAAGAGGGGAGGGGGCAGGGTGCTACACAGGGAGGGGGTCCTGGAGGTAGGACACGCGAAGGAAGGAGAGAGGGAGCCACGGGCTGAGAGAAGGGAAGGCACTCTGGGCAGTAAGGACACAGACCGGGATGTGGGAGCTGCCAAACTGAAGGAGCAATGGCTGGGGGGGACCTGGGATGCAGTGAGTGAGGGGTTGTGATAGGAGAGCTCATCCTGCCTCCTTACTCCTGCCCTCATTTCAGATGAGATCATGTGGCCAGAAGGGGACGAGGCCCTCCCTGCAGATGCCCAGGACCTCATCACCAGGCTGCTCCGGCAGAGCCCCATGGACCGTTTAGGCACTGGTGTGTGGGTGTGGGCAGGGAGTGGAGGGATAGGGGCTGAGTTAGACAATAGCTCTGCTTTCAAGGCTGCACAGAGGAGAGGGCTTGGATCTGGGGTTTTGAAGCCTGAATAGGAGTTTACTAAGAGTCAGGCATGAAATACTTCAGAATGTCAAAGGAGCAGCAGGTGCTTGAGTCTGGTGCACATGGGGTGGTAAGGCTAATTGAACACAAGGCTGTGAGATGTCCAGAGGCTGTGTCCCAAGGTCCTTAAAGGCCCCATAGATCTTGCTGTCCCAGCTCCCCCTGCCACTTGGCAAGTGGTTAAGGCACTGAGACTTACGCAGCTGCCCTATACACACTGCTGTGGGTCACATTCGTGACTGAGGTTTGACCAGGAGAGGATAGTTGAGACCAGGATTGGCAGCAGGATATGAAGCTCCCGCTCCCAGGAGTAGGAACATGTGAAAAAGACCTGGAAGGAAGTCCTCCCAGGGCTTCTGGGTTACTCTGGGTGGTAGGGCTCAGGCTTCAGCAGAGGGAAGGGCAGGGCCCTAGGAACCCAGCCAGCCTGCGTTTGACCCAGAGTTCGGTCACTCTGGCTGTGGCATGATGTTCCTCCCTGGGCTTGCACGGCGCCTGGTTTTTGCTCTTATCTTTCTAGTTATTAGTTGGCCAAGATTCATCTCCTGTCACGTGTCCAGTTCACTGGCCATCTGCTGGGGGTTGAGCAGAGCTGGGGAAGCAGCAAGGGCGAGGGGGTGGTCAGAGGGACCCATGGGGTTAAGCCAAGTATGTCCACAGGTGGCACCCATGAGGTGAAGCAGCACCCCTTCTTCCACGCTCTGGACTGGGCAGGGCTCCTGCGGCACAAGGCCGAGTTCGTGCCACAGCTGGAAGCTGAGGATGACACCAGCTACTTTGACAGTAAGTGGGGAACTTCAGTGAAGAGACCCCGCCATCCTGTATCCCTGGGAGCCAGGAGGGGAATGTCTTTAGGGACCCCATGTAATCTTGGCTTCTTGCCTGGTTGGGTCTGGAGCTTCCGATTTCTTGAGCATTCCCAGAAGCTGAGGGCATGTCTGCCGCCGCCCCCCTGCTGGGATTTCCTGTCCCTCTGGGCAGAGGAGGCCAAAACCCCTCTTCGGTTACAGAAGCGGAAATCAAGACACCAAGTGTGGAAGACCATTGCTCGGGGTTCTCTAGTCGGTTCAGCCTCCCAGGTCTGGCCCTGGCCAGGCATAAGACCCGGGGTGTCCCGTGCCTCTCTGGGTCCCATCTGTCTCACAGAAGGGTGGGGCCGCCTTAGGGATGTGGCCAGCGGGTCAGATGAATTTCCCTCTCCCCATTCAGAGCTCCGGCCAGATGCACAGTAAATGCCCTGTTTCTAGTGCCTCCTCTAGACCTTGCTGTGTGATTTGGGGGGGGGGGGCTCTCTGACCCTGTTACCTCTTCTGTAAAATGGGCAACATCTTTTATGTCGATTGTATTTTGTATCCGAGACACAATTTCACATAGTTCTGGGTGACCCATTTCAAGAAACTGAAGCTCAAAGACAAGAAGCCCTGCCTGCGGTCCCACAGCTTCTAGAGACACAGCTGAAATTTAATCCCAGCTTCTTGTGGTCCCTAAACACTCTGGGCACAGTCCCGCCTCAGGGCCTCTGTGCTCTCCCTGCTGCAGCGCGCTCCGAGCGATACCGCCACCTGGGCTCTGAGGATGAGGAGACCAACGATGACGAGTCATCCACGGAGATCCCCCAGTTCTCCTCCTGCTCCCACCGATTCAGCAAGGTAGGCTGCTGCTCAGGAAACGGCACCGGGTGCTACTGACCTTCCTTTGAATTTTTTTTTTTTTTATTGTGGTAACATACACATAAAATACAATTTACCATTTTAATCATCTTAAAGTGAATAGTTAATGGCATCTAGCACATTCGTAATGTTGTGTGACCACCACTTCTATCTCAGTCCAGAACATTCTCGTTGCCCCAAGAGGAGACCCCACACTTTTTACCAGTCACCCTCCATTTCCTCCTCTTCCCTTTGCCTAAAAAAGAAGTTTTTATTCAGCTGTAAAGAGAGAAAGTCCTGGTGTATGCCACAAGGGAGCTCTGGTAGCGTAGTGCCTAAGGCACTTGACTGCTAACCAGAAGGCTGGCAGTTCAAACCCACCAGCCACTCCTCAGGAGGAAGGTTGAGCAATACTTCCATAGTGATGCTGCCTCAAAAACCCAAGGAGAGGTCGCTGTGAGCAGTGAGTTTGGTTTTTGGTTTTGGCAGCCATAATGTGGATAAACCTTGAAAACATCATAGTGAGTGAAGTGATAAGTCAGTGGCAAAAAGACAAATAGTGTATGATCTCACATATCTGCAGTAAACGGTGTATGGAAACTAAAGATGATTTGTGGTGACCAGGGGTGGGGGAAGGGGAGGAGCTGTTTTTGCTCAGGGGGCAGTGAGTGTATGTTACAGATGGTGGGAAGATGGGGAAAGGACCATGAGAACTAGTGCACAACTTGAACAGCGTGATCGATCATCACAGAATTAGGCGCATAGACATGAGTAAATTGGTGTGTGTTTTGTTGTGTCTGTTTTCAGCATAATCAATAAATCAAAAAGTCGCCATTGAGTGGACCCTGACTCAGGCAGCCCCATGTGTGTCAGGGTAGACCTGTGCTCCATAGGGCTTTCACTGGCTCATTGTTTGGAAGTAGATTGGCAGACCTTTCTCTCACGGCACTTCTGAGTGGACTCAGACCTCCAGCCTTTCGGTGAACAGCCGAAGGTACTAACAGTTGGCACCACCCAGGGACTCTCCCCATTCTCTGTTGCTGTTGTTGTTAGGTGCTGAGTCAGCTCCGACTCATAGTGACCCTGTGTACAACAGAAGGAAGAAGGAAGGGGCCATCCACTTCTTGAAGAATTGCCCAGTGAAAACCTTATGAGTAGCAGTGAAACACTGTGTGATATATTACTGGAAAACTTTATGAATAGCCCCCCATTCTCCAGATACCTATAGTCTGCTTTCTGTCTCTATGACTTGTCTTTTCTAGATATTCCATATAAATGAAACACACAATAGAGATGACCTTTTTTGTCTGATATGTCACTGAACATTGTTTTCAAAGGTCATACACATTGTAGCATGGATCAGAATTTCGTTTCTTTTTATTATTGAATAATACTTGCAAAAATGGCGAGGAGGCCACATGTTCTGACCTCCTCTAATCCCACAAGAGGAAGACATGATTACCAGCAGTAACCCAAGGCCTATTCCTACAAGGCCAGAAATGCTGACTCCCTCCTGCCCTTTCTCCAACCGTTCCTCCCAAAGCACCCACCACCTCTCTCCTGGGTTCGATAATTCGCTGCAGTGGCCACACAGAACTCACAGATTATGGGGTTTATTAGGGAAGCACCACAGGCTACAATTCAAGTTCAGGAAAAACGCTCAGTCTCTCTCCCAGCCCACCGTCCCTCCACCCAACAGTCTCTCACAGTCTCTTTCCCAGCAGTGCTGGTCCCTCGGTGTCTCACTCAGCGATGCATATCTCTTGCGTCTCTTTCCCAGCAGCACGTGTCTCTTTCAGGAGCGCCTGTCTCTTTCAGCAGCACGTCTTCCTCAACCAGCAGTCAGAGAGAGTTCTGCCTCTAGGAGGCCTCCTTTTGAGCCCGGCAGGGTGGTCAAACTAGCCAATCACAGCATCAGAACTCTAAGCACCTGAGAGAGAGTGGGCACCTCCCAGAACATTGTTTTGTGCCACTCCCAACGGAAATACTCCAGGTGGACAACTTCAGCAATCAGGAGCTCCTCAGTTGCTCATAGAAAATGCCACCTTGGAGTTTACAAAGACTTATGGGTAGAAAAGCCACACAAAGTAATTTACTACACTGCAATACTGTTGTTGTTGTTAATATGCCGTCGAGTTGGACCCTACCCGTAGTGACTCCTCATTGGGTTTCCAAGGCAGTATCACTACGGAAGTAGATTGTCCAACCTTCCTTCCGAGGAGTGGCTGGTGGGTTTGAACCACCAGCTTTCTGGTTAGCAGTCAAGTGTGTTAAAGCACTATGCTATCAGAGCTCCACGAATAATACTCTAGTGTGTGAATAAACCACATTTTGTTTATCTGTTCATCTGCTGACGGCCAGTTGGGCTGTTTCTACTTTTTGGCAGTTGTGAATAGACCTGCTATGCCTGCTGTTATACAGAAAATTTACACAGAATTTAACCTAAATACCTTTTTTTTAATAATGTAACCACAAAATCCTTCCTGTCCCAGGCAGGACACCTGGATCAGCAGTGGAACCCCTGGCCATGATTCCTCTTGGTTGCCACTCTGACCCTTGTATACATGAGTTAGAGACTGTGCTTTCATTAGGGATGTGGTGAGCAAGGATTTAAGGAAGTGACTCATGTGGAACCATCTGGCATGTAGGAAGCACTCAGCTAAGCTGCCGCTCACGCATGGGTGTGGCCATCTGCCGCCATCATTGTTTTTACTCTTATTTCTATTCTTTGCCCAGGTCTACAGCAGCTCTGAGTTCCTAGCTGTCCAGCCCACCCCAACCTTCGCTGAAAGGAGCTTCAGCGAGGACCGGGAGGAGGGTTGGGAGCGCAGCGGTGAAGGGGAGACAAGCCGCCAGCTGAACACTGAAGTACGGTGCGTAAGTCAGGGAGTGTGGGCATCTAACGTCCTGGACGGCTAGAAGGTGGAGCCGCAAAATCTGGCATTGAAGGGAGCTTCCCAGTGGCCTTGTAGAAAAGGGTTAAAGGTATTGGTCAGCCTGTCAGGTCATATACACTGTCACCCTGGGTGGTGGCTTTTTGTGTGCCATTTCCCTTGCCTAGAAAGCCATTTGCTAATGAACTCCTAATCATCCTTCAAAGCCCAGAACAAATAGAAATGATATCTGCTACAAGATGGGCATTGGAACCACATTTTAAAAGATGAATAGGATTTCTCCAGCCAGACGTGGAGGATGGTACAGGCAGAAGGAACTCACCCTGTATTCACAAGTTGCCTCTGATGCCAGGCTGAGGAGTTGGGATGTGGCCACGATGGTGGGGTGCCCGGGGTGTTGGTGTCCGTTGGGCATGACACAGGCCCTTTCCCTGCAGCCTGAGATCCTGGACATCTGGCTCCTCCTGCCACTCCTCCTCATCCCAGCCCGAGCGGGGCCCCAGCCCGTCACTCCTGAGCACCATCAGCCTAGACACAATGCCCAAGTTTGCCTTCTCGTCAGAGGATGAAGCAGCAGGTCCAGCCCCTGGGGGTGCTGAGAGGCCCATCTTCATTCTTGGGGAGCCTGACCCACCTCCACCAACCACCCCAGTGATGCCCAAAACCTCAGGCCTTTCCGGTATGTGGGACCAGGTTGAGGAGAGTATCAGGAAAGCTTCCCAGAAGAGGGGGTATTTAAGATGGGTTTTCAAGAATGAGTAGGAGTTCACTAGAGAGACCATTTACTTGTTTAACAAGCCCTACCCTGTTCCCTCAAAAACCAAAATACCAAACTCACTGCCATCAAGTCAGATCCGATTCAACCCCTCCTTGGGTTTCCAAAGCAGTATCACTACAGCAGTAGGTTGCCCAGTCTTCCTTCTGAGGAGTGGCTGGTGGATTTGAACCGCCAGCCTTCTGGTGAGCAGTTGAATGCCATAGGCACTACACCACCAGAGCTCCCCTGTTCCCTTAAGGGACTCTCAAACTCAAGACCTTGCCTAGGCCAGGACAGGAGGGAAGGGTGCAGCTGGGGAGCCCAGGGAGAGGGAACCACAGGTTCTTTTTGAAGTGGAGGGAAGGCTTTCTATAGAAGGGGTTATTTCAGATGGGATTTTAAGGATGAGTAGGAGTTCACTCAAGACCCTATTCACTTGTCTACCAAAGCCTCTGAGATAGAAAAGCCAGGGCCCCTGCTTCATAGTTGTCAGGACAGGAGTAAAGGGAGAGATGGGGCTGGGAGTCCAGAAATGGGGAGCTAGAGCTCTGTCTTAGGTTGGGGGAAGGCTGTTTGGAGGAAGGACTTGAAGAATGGAGCTTTCCAGAGAAAGGAGTTCAGGAAGGCTGTGCAGGAAGAAGGAACTATAGGAGCAGAAGCTGAGAGGTGGGACTATATATGCCAACCAGGGAGAAAGGGGCTTGGGCCCCTGAGGACAGAGGAGGTAAGTGGTGAGACTGATGAAGGTCCAGGCTGATCTCTGACCCCACTGTCCACCCCCAGCTGACACAGCTGCCCTCAGCCATGCTCGCCTGCGCAGCAACAGCATTGGCGCCCGACACTCCACACCTCGAGCCCTGGACTCCGGGAGGGGCCGTCGCCTCAGGGCCCCTAGAGACCCAGGTCCCGAGAAGCCTCGGACCTCCCCTAGTGGGGGCCGTGTACCCAAGTCTGCCTCGGTGTCTGCCCTGTCGCTCATCATCACGGCAGGTAATGCTGAAGCTCAGGCGTCCATCCCTTCTCCATCCACTGCCAGACAGAATCAGGCATTTTTCTCTTCCCATGTTACTGACAGGGTGCGGAATGCTTGGACCAGGGGACTCGGGCACATCTCTGAGAAAGTGACATGGAACTGAGACCTGGGAGATGGGAAGGAGCTGGGGACATGGGAGAGCTGGGGGAAGGGCATTCCCAGTGGAGGCCCCAGCAAGTGCAGAGGCCCTGAGGCGAGACTGTTTGGGCATTAGAGCAGCAGAGCGGTGGGGGGTGAGGACGTCCCATTGGGGGGCCTGATAGAAAGTGACCCCCCCATTCCCACAGATGATGGCAGCAGCGGTGGCCCCCTCATGAGCCCCCTGTCTCCACGCTCGCTGTCCTCAAACCCGTCCTCCCGTGACTCCTCACCAAGCCGTGACCCGTCCCCTGTGTGCAGCAGCCTGCGGCCCCCCATCGTCATCCACAGCTCAGGCAAGAAGTATGGCTTTAGCCTTCGGGCCATCCGCGTCTACATGGGTGACAGTGACGTTTACACCGTGCACCACGTGGTCTGGGTGAGTTCCTTCGTGGGCGGAAGCCCAGAGCCTGCGGGGTGGGGGCTGGGTGGGGACAGCAGAACTGGGTCCGAGTCCAAAGTCCCTTCTGTCTCTGAGCCACAGACTGTTCTTCCCTCGGAAATCAAGTCAGTGCTCATTCCCTGTGAGGTGTCAGGGCCCAGGCTGGGGTCCCTGTTATAGGGGAAGTGGGACCCCAGAGTGGGCATGAAACCCCCTACTGTAGGCCGGCACACCGTGGCTGTGTTGTCCTCCCTCCTATCGGCCCTGGGGCCCCAACCCCTCCACATTGTTCACTCCTGAACAGCCTCCCAGGGTCAGGGAAACTGAGGCAGCTTGCCAGGGTCCTGCAGCTGGCCTGGGGTCTTAGGGGTAGGGCCTAGACTCACGGACTCCGTCTTTCCTCCACAGAGTGTGGAGGAGGGCAGCCCTGCCCAGGAGGCAGGGCTGCGGGCTGGGGACCTGGTCACCCACATCAACGGGGAGTCAGTGCTGGGGCTGGTGCACATGGACGTGGTGGAGCTGCTGCTGAAGGTGCCCCCCTTCCCTCGCAGCCCAGGATGCCCAGCATCCCTGCACCCTCAGTCCCCAGGACTCATAATACCCCTTCACCCCCTCCTTAGGGCCCCAGGTCCCTAACATCTCCCCCACTTGATCTCAGAGCTCTTACATCCTTGATACCTCCCCTGACCCTGGAGCTTCAGGACCCACCACCACTGCCTGCCTTTGGGGCTCCCAGGACTCCCCCAGTGACCACTCTTGAGACTCCTAGGACACTCCCTCCAATACTTCCCACCTTCAGGGCTGGCAGAACCCCGGGTTTCTCCCCTGCCCTGCTCACCCTGAGGACCCATCTCCAGATCTGGCCTGCCCCTCCCCCAAGGATGGATCCCTTTCATTAGCCCCTGGCATCATCCCTCCAAGTCAGGCTGCAGGGCCCCTGCTCTAGGAAGCCCTTCCTGCACCCTGGACACCCCACCCCAACCCTCCTGTGCCCACCCTGACTCATGGGGGTATCTTTGCTGCCTTTGACAAGTGCTGAGCATTGAGAGGGAGTGGGGGCATCCTGGGTGTGAGTTGGAGAGGACCATGAGTGTTGGATGTTGGGTAACGAGGTCTGGGTGGAGAGTGGGGAAGGAGATGCTTAATAGGCAGTGGTAATAGTAACAATGGGGTGGGTAAACGGACTGGACCATTGGTGGCCAGTCCTGCCTGGTGGCTGCACTGGAGGGACCACAGGGAGTCCTCCTCAGGTGGGAAGCACACAGGTGATGCCCTGCCATCCCCCTGCAGAGTGGCAGCAAGATTGCACTGCGGACCACAGCTTTGGAGAACACGTCTATCAAGGTGGGGCCTGCCCGTAAGAATGTGGCCAAGGGCCGCATGGCGCGGCGGAGCAAGCGCAGCCGCCGGCGAGAGACGCAGGACCGGTGAGTGGGTCAGGAGCAGTAGTGCAGGGCCTGCCGTGGGCTCAGGCTTGTGGATAGGGATGGGCGGGTATACTTCCTGACTGACTGGGTCTTTTTGCCTGTCCTCAGGCGGAAGTCACTCTTCAAGAAGATCTCAAAGCAGTCCTCGGTGCTGCACACCAGCCGCAGCTTCTCCTCCGGCCTCCACCACTCCCTGTCCTCCAGTGAGAGCCTCCCGGGCTCGCCCACTCACAGTCTCTCCCCAAGCCCCACTACGCCCTGCCGCAGCCCAGCTCCGGACGCCCCCACAGGTGGGTGTGTACTTGGGGCCACCCTGGGAGAAATAGGGGCTGGGAGGGAGGAGAGTGAGCCGAGTGTAGAGTACAGAAGGTAGGAACTAGAGGGCTGGAAGAGGGCCGACAATCTCCTGGAGTCAGGGGCAGGGGAGACGGGAAGGGTGTGCCCAGCAGAGTATCATCACATGCAGAGGAGATCAGGCAGAGGGATACGAAAGGGAGGCTGGTGGGAGCATGAGGGATGGATTGTGCAGGACTTCTGACACTGAGACAAAAAGTTGGCCTTAAATTAGGGGGTGATGGGGAGCCATGGAGAGTATGTGAGCAAAGGAGCGCATGGTCACAGCTGAATGTTGGGAAGATCATTCTGGGATAGAAAAAGAGGCCCTGAGGAGACTGGGAAAACAGAGCCAGATACAGACACCCTCAGCACCACTGGTCAGGGTCAGGCTGCAGCGGGACACCAGGACTCAGGGAGCTAGCTCAGAGGAGGCTTGCTGGAGGGGAGTGGGTATGGGAGCTGGGGTTTGGTTGGGTGAGTAGGAGTTCACTAGCTCTAGGACCAGCTGCAAGGAAGGACAGGGAATCAGAAAACAGAGCAGTCAGAGAAGACTTTTTGGACGGAGTGTGGGAACTGGGATTTTGATGGATGAATAGGAGTTCACCACATCTAGGCAGAGGAAATAGCCTGTACAAATGACAGGAGACAGGAAAGCTTGGGTATATGTAGTCAGTCTCAGGGCCTCATCTCTGGGCTGGGGACATTGTGGCAGGTAGCCCTGACCTACACCTATCACCCACAGACACCGCATCCCCACCCAGCGCCTCCCCGAGCTCCAGCAGCCCAGCCTCTCCAGCCACTGGCCACACACGCCCCAGCTCCCTGCATGGCCTGGCTGCCAAGCTTGGGCCTCCCCGCCACAAAACTGGTCGCCGCAAGTCCACCAGCAGTATCCCACCCTCCCCGCTGGCCTGCCCGCCCGTGCCTGCGCCTCCACCCCGCTCACCCTCGCCCCTGCCTGGACACCCACCTGCACCTAACCGCTCCCCTCGCCTGCGCCGGGGCCAGTCAGCTGACAAGCTGGGTACAGGTGAGCGGCTAGATGGGGAGCCAGGGCGCCGTGGCCGGGGACCAGATGCAGAGCTGGTGGTCATGCGGCGGCTGCACCTGTCGGAACGCCGGGACTCCTTCAAGAAGCAGGAGGCAGTGCAGGAGGTGAGCTTTGACGAGCCTCTGGAGGAGGTCACTGGGCCTCCTACCTCACTGCCGCAGATTGCTGTGGAAGGCACCGACGTGGTGCCAGGAGCCCCTGGACCTGCAAACGAGGACTGACTCTGCCCACCCCTGCCTCTCCTGGCCTCAAAGCTGTGCATTTTTTTGTGCAATGTTTTTCCAGTAAAATGACACCCTGTTGGAGACCGAGCCACCAGCCTGAGGCACCCTGAAGGCAGGAAGGCCTCTTGGTCCTTGCTGGAAGGTGGAGATGGTACCTTGTGTTCCAGTGCTGATGGGGGCCATAGGGGCAGGAAAGAGGGACGAGGCTGGCATTGTAAATATCATCAGATCCCTGTGGTTAATTTATTACTTTTTATAAGCATTTGCCAGACTGAGCCGCCCTTGTGCAGGTGGCTGCCCTTGCCCAACCCCTTGCTCCTGGGACCCTGTTTGCAGACCCATCTCCTGGGATGAAAAGGAAGCACTTTGGAGAAGTCGTGTGTGTTCATGTATTCCCGTTTTTCTGTATTTTTTAAAGTGTGTGTATATGTTCTTTGGTCTCTCTGCATCTAAGAACCACTGATTTGAGGGGACCCAGCCAAGCTTACCTGTCCAGACCCAGGTTGAGTATGACTTGGGAAGTTCATAAGTGCTTCCTTTTCCTATAAAACAAAGTAACCTTGATGGACTGGATTCTGAAAGCTACCTCCCACCATCTTAGTGGCCACTCCCTGCTGGATTGGCCTCCAATCCTACAGGCTTCATCCTGGAGGATTGCGAGTGGGAGCTAGGGCTTTGATGGATGAGTAGGAGTTCACCAAGTCCAGGTAGAGTGGTCACCCACTCCACAAGACACTCCAAGGTAGAAGAATGGCCACCCTGTATAAGTTTCCACATGTTGGGAGGCCCACCAGGGTGAGCCTTGACTGTGACTCATTGGAATGCATCTGGGGAGTTCCTTGATTCAGAACCTCCCAGGGATGAAGTTCAAGTGAGAAACCTCAACTGGGGGACAGCAAAGCCCATGTGTGACTGACTCTCTACTGTGCTGTGTGGCTCGGGGAAAGCAGCTTTCCCACTCTGTGCCTCAGTTTCCTTGTGTTTACAAGACTAATTCCAATGACTATTTATTAAGCACCTACTTTGTGCCAAGCGCTTTTTCTTGTGGCTTCTCCCTTCCTCAATCAGCCTTCAGAAGGCTGGAGGTGGCAGTATCATCTCCATTTTACAGTTGAGGCACCTGAGGCCTGGTACAGAGCAGGGCCTTGTCCTATGATTGCCTGGTGAGTCACAGCATAAGGGAGCATGCTGTTTGGGCACTGTCACTGAGGGAGCTTGAATGGAGGGTCTGGTGGTGGATACACCAGACTCTAGGCCCAGCTCTGCTTGGTGATGCTGTGTGACCCAGGAGGAGTTGCTTGGCATCTCAGAGCCTCCATTTCCCCACTTGGAGGCAGCTAGTGACATCACTGTGCCCCATTTAGTGAGGGCACTCTCCAGGCCACTGCAGCCCACTCAGTGTCCCGAACCCCAGACCCCAACTCAGCGCTGTCAGGTGTTGGAGGCAGGACCGAGGCTGTGCATGGCTTGCCCACTCCTTCCATCCTGGAGATGGCGGTGAATAAAGCCCGCATTTACAAGAGGAGGTCTGTTGTCTTTATTTGTAAGGGTCTGCAAAGGGAGGAGGGAAGAATGGAGGGGGGGATGCAAATAGCCCTTTGGCTCAGCAAAGCGGACCGGCAGCCCTTCTTCACCCTTCAGCTCCAGCCTGCTCGTTCATGCGGCAGAATTCCACTGTGCTTCTTTTGGGTCATGTGAAGTGCGTTTTGAAGGTTACATAGGAGTTTGCCATTGAGATGCTCCTTGGTGCCTTCTCTGGTCCTCACCTGGCTGCCCTTCTGTGAGGACTTCATCTTAGGCTGGGCCTTGAAAAGTTTCATCCAGATATGCCCCTAGGACACTGAACTGTGTTTATAAAATAAATAAACCATCTATGTGTCCTTTCCATTTTGGTCTAAAACTTGGCCAGCCCAGCCCAACCAGGTTGGGCTACTTCTGGCATTGTTGGCATGCTCCTCACCAGCCTCCCACTCCGCTTTTGGTGCCAACAATCGCATCTGGGCACATCTGAGGCCCAGGTCATTAGGCAGTTTCTGGACGGCCCTCGGTTGCCATGGAAACGTTTCAACCTGCTCCTCAGACTTGGTTCGGCTATTTCCGGAAAGGCTCAATCTGCTGGAGTGGGCCCTAGCCCTACTCCTGTTCCCAGCACTGGGGGCCGTCTCAACCACTCCCTGAAGCCATGGATGCTTAGGCAGTTTCCAGAAGCTGGCAGTCTTCGCTGGGTCTAAACTCCCAGGCAAAGGCGACTCAACGAAAAATAGCGCCTATGGCAATTAATTTTAAATTGCTTAATAATCTCTCACGGCTGGCGATGGAACTGTGATGGTGAACAGAAAACTGCTCATTGGCGCCGCCGCCGCCCAGCCGTCAAGCGGCGCCCAGGACATGTGCCATACCTGCCCATCTCTTAGATACACCTCTGTTCCCAGGGCCTCCCTGTGGACCCGAGCACACCGCTCAGCCCAAAATAGCTCATTTCTGGAATCGCTCGGGTGTCTGTAAACCCCGAGCTTTCAACCAATCTGATCGTGCTTGGCTATTTTTAAAAATGCTCGGTTACCCCGGAGCACCGTCTATTCCGCCTTTCCCGCGGGAATTCGTTCGGCTCTTTCCGGAATCGCTGGAACGTCCAGCCGAGCCCAGCCGAGCCCAACCTCGGGTCGTTCGAACGATTTACTACGTTCGGTTACCTCCGGAAATGCTCGGCTCTCCCCGTGCAGAATATTCGGCTCTTTCCGGAAGCAGTCGGGTGTCCCCGGGCTCCGGCTGAGCTTCCCTGCTCACCCGCCCGACCTGACCGCTCTTGGCTATTTCCGCTGGGGGCGGGCCCGGCCGCTCCGAACCGCGGCTAAGACCGAGGCTGGAATCCCGCAGCTGCGGCGACGGCGGCCGCGGTGGAGCCCCCGGGTGGACTCGGCTCAGTGTGACGGCAGCGGCAGCGGCACGATCAGGTGAGTCCGACCGGCCAGCGTGGCAGGCAAGGGTCGGGACTTGCTCGAATGCGGGGCTCGGTGGAGGCCAGGACGGATCGCCGGTCTGGATCGGGCCCCGCGGAAATTGCGAGGCCGCAGGGAGAGGGAGCCGCGTGGGGCGCAGGCCTTGGGTCGACTCGGCGGCGGTGCAGCCTGCCCGGGAATGGGGTCCCCCAGGCAGAGTTGGAGGCTATAACCGCAGCCTCTATTCAAAGGTGGCCCTACCAATGATGGGGTCGCCGAGCAGTAATGGGGGGCGCCCAGGCATTGTGTGGAGTATAATGGGGGGCGGGGTATCGGGGGTCGACCCCCACTTCCGGTCCACGCAGGCCCGTGTGCGTGTCTGCACACGCGTGAGCGCGCACCGGCCCCGCGTCCTAGCCAGCCCTGCCGACCTGTCCCCCCCACCCCGCCTTTTGGATTCGGGGTGCGCACACCGGGGCGTGTGCAAACGTGTGCACACCGGGGCGCGGGGGCGGGCTGTCCTGGGCAGGCGGCTACAGGCCCTTACCTCAATGTCCCCCTCTTCGGGCCTGTTTCCCCACCTGTGGAATGGAGGTGACAGGGTCCAGAGAGAGGGTAAGTTGGCCGCCCTGCTTTCTGCTTGGACACCTCCTGGAACTCCTGGTGCCAGGCGAGTACTGGACTTTCACCTAGCACTCAAGACCCTGCATGGCCCGGCTCCTCCCTTTCTTACCAGCCCCCCTGAACTCCTGGCAAGCAGCTTCACTCCACCCAGGCTTTGCATGATCGATGGGTTGCTCTGCCAGATGCATCCTCTAGCCTCTTCCAGAACCCTGCCTGGAGCTGGGCACCCCCAGCCCGCTCCCTCCAACCCTGCAGGCTGGCATGTCTGTGTTCTGTGATCCTGGTATGATTTCTGCCTCGTTTGTCAGCCCCTGCCCCCCACACACATTGGCAGTCACAGTTCACCCCAGTCATCTACCCAGGATCTGAGTTCCCCACCCCTGCACATTTTGAGCAAACCACTGGTAACCCCCTGGACTGAACCAGGCCAGGGACCACTGCAGCTTGCTTCTCTCCTGCAAAGGCCTGACTCACCTCTAGGCCTCTGCTTGTTGGGGGGACTCTGCTGGGACCTCCTTCCCTTCCACTCTACTTCCCTCCACTGTCTCCTTTGAAGCTTAGCTCGCGTGTCCCCTATTCATACTCCTGTCCACTCTGGTTATAACTTTCTGCCCCTATGGCCAACCTTCTTCTCTCTGTCCTGGGCTATAAAGTCAGGCAGATCTAGGTTTGAATCCTGTTTTCTTCTTAGCTCTGAACAAAGACTTCTGTGTTCCGAGTCTCAGTTTCCCCATTTCTAAGGCCAGTGAGCTCCTTGTTTCTGGCACATGCAGTGTGACCTAGGCAGGTTCCAAAACATTAGGTCCTAAAGACTCCAAGGAAGGCTGCTATTATATCCATTTTACAGGTGAGGAAACTGAGGCCTATAGAGGGGCAGGGACTAATCCAAGGGTGTTCAGTGAATCAGAGGACTTGAACCCAGGATTTAGGCCCATCTCTGAGTTGGGGTATGAGGTAGTCTAAGCCCAGCTGACTCTGCCTTGCCTTTCTCCTCACAGGTCCACGACCCCAGCTGAGCATGGTGACCACCTCTGCCCTTGGCTCCCTCAGAAGAGCCTCCATCCTGCAGCGCCGATGGCCCCCCACGTGAGGGAGTGAGTGGCCCGTCCTGGCTCCTCCAACTGATGGAGGACTCAGCAGCCAAGTGACCTGAAACACTGCAGTCCCCTTCCACCTGGTAACTGATGGTGGACGCAGCAGTGAGGGACCCAGGTCAGGGTCGTGACACAATGGTGGAATGGGACGTGTGAGTGGCCCATCTGGCCTTTAATTCCACTATTTCAACTTCATGGTGGACACAGGGGTCTGATCTGAGTGCCCTAAACCAGTCCAGAGGACCCTCCCAGACCCTAATCCAGCCGATGGGACCAGCAGGGCTCCCAGCAGCCATTTGACTGTCTGGACCCCAACGTGCCCAGCCATGGCAGGTGCCGAGGGCTTCCAGTACCGTGCGCTGTACCCATTCCGCCGGGAGCGGCCTGAGGACCTAGAGCTGCTGCCAGGAGATGTGCTGGTGGTGAGCCGGGCAGCCCTGCAGGCACTGGGCGTGGCCGAGGGTGGGGAGCGCTGCCCACAGACCGTGGGCTGGATGCCTGGTGTCAACGAGCGCACGAGGCAGCGTGGCGACTTCCCCGGCACCTACGTTGAGTTCCTGGGGCCTGTGACCCTGGCCCGGCCTGGCCCTCGCCCACGTGGCCCCCGCCCACTGCCTGCCCGGCCCCGTGATGGGCCCCCTGAGCCAGGTGAGCAGCCACGTGGTAGCAGGGTCCTGGCTGGGGGCTCTCCCCTCAGACCCTCAGTCTCTTCTCTCCAGTGGGCTGATGGGGAAGGAATAGTAGTAAGGATGTCGGTCATTGGATCAGTTGACAAGCATTGATGGCACAGCTTTTGAGAGCTAGCCCAGTTTAGGATATTGTGGACCAGCAATGGACACAGGCCTGGCCCTGGCTTTGTGGAACTTCTAGTTAAAGAAATAACGAGAAAGTGATAGGTGACATGCCAAGGAAGGAGCCATGCATGGGGAGAGTTGGGAGTGGAATGTTCCAGAGCAGTAAGCGTGAAGACCGTGAAGTGGGATAGAATGGCAGGTTTAGGGACCAGCTGGCAGGGGCACCATGTGGAGGAGTGGAATGGGGAAGCAGGGCTGTGGCAGCTGGGCCTCGGGCTGAGGAAGAGCATGGATTCACTAAGCACCAGGAGTGTTCAGTAGGGTTCAGAGGTTCAGTTTCCATCTTGCAGTTTGCAGACCCAGCCCATTAGGAAACCTTTGTTACCCTGGTTTCCAAAGTGAGGGGCGCTGCGAAGCTCAGGGTGGGACACTCAGCTGAGGCCACAGAGTGCACTGGGATATAAGGCCCCATATCCCTCCCCAAAGACCCTCAACCGTCCTTCTTTCCATAGAGCAGCCATTGAGAGCAAGGAGTTGAACACTGAGCAAAAGCATATGCTGAAATTGCCATGTGCCAAACAGGAGATGGGGGTTCCAGGTGGAGAAACTGAAGCCTGGGTGGGGAGAGGCAGCCGACGTGTGCTGAGTACATACATGGACCCAGCCTGGTCTAACCCAACCCCCCAGTGGTCCCGTGGGCAGAGGAGGGACAGAAGTATGAAGGGGTCACCTAGAGTGTCCAGGGACCTGAGAGATGCTGAAGTCCACCTGGTTTTGTGCAGGAGGGACATTGATGCCCCAGAGAGGATCAGATCAGAGGCTTCCAGCTCAGGGGAGAGCGGGGGCTGTGAGACAGCTTGGCATCTGGCGTCTCCAGGGCCCAGGCCTATATCCCGCCTCGGCCTGAGGAGCAGGAGGCCCCATCTGGGCTCCCCGCCAGAATCTGCCTCTGTCCCTGGTAACAGCCGCCTCCCTCCCAGGCCTGGCATCAGTCCAGCCACCACACACAGCCCCACTTGGGGCGGCTGCCTGGCCTGCCCTCCGAGCTTTCCAGGGCCATGTGACCTCAGCCATCCGCCCACTCCAGGCCTCAGTTTCCTCATCTGGAAACCACAGCATTGGTCCCTTCGTGCCTTTGTGCCTGCTGCTCTGGGATCTGGGGACAAGCTGAGGCTGCCTGTTCCACCCATCAGCCCCATGGAGGGAGCTGAGGCAGAGTCCTGATAGCACTGGGCTGTGTAACAACAGGCAGGCAGTCTCACTCAGCCTTGGTTTGTCGTCTGTAAAATGGGGGTGACGCCTGTTATGTGGAGATTGAGTCTCCCTACCAATTGCAAACGGGTCACAGACGAGTTGTCAGAACTGTCCCCACCCAGCCCCTATCCAGGGCATCACCTACCCCCTTAGCCTGATTCTTTCACTTTTTTTTTTTTTTGGCATTTGCTAGCAGCTGGGCCCTTCTCCAGCGTGAGGCATCACCTGGCCCATTACTCAGGAGGCCCCACAGGCCCTGACTTGCCCCTGCTGAGTGCCAGGGCGTCCCTGCCGAGGGCCAGAGCTGGATCAGAGACTCTAGGAGATGCAGGCTGGGTGGGGGCTGTGCCCAGGGCTTCCTGGGTAATGGGAGTGAGTTCAGTGGCTTAGAAAGGGGGCAGGAAATACTTTCTTAAAAGCAAAATAACTTAGAAAATGGAGAAAGATCCTTTGGAAAAGGTGTTTAGGTCCACAGGGATATTTCCCTTTTGTTCCTTTTCAGTTCCTCTGTTTTTCCCACCAAAAAGGAAAGATGATGCCATTGGTCTTGTTTTGGTTATCTAGTGCCATTCTAACAGACATACCACAAATGGGTGGCTTTAACTAACAGAGATTTATTCTCTTACAGTTGAGGAGGCTAGAAGTTCAAGTTCAAAGTGCCTCTAGGGTCTGGGTGAAAGCCCTTCAACCTTGGGCTTCAGCTCTGCCTCTTGCTCCTGGCCCACTGAAGCTGGAGGCTTCTCTTAACTCAGACAGCTGCTGGCTGCTGAGGCTGACAAACCCAAGGTTGACAAGTAAAATGGCACAGTCCCAAAATTACCAAACCACACGGCAAGGCACTAATTCAAGTCCATTGACAGTCCCAAGATCGGCAAACAACATGGCAGGCCACTGAGATGAAGACTCGGCCAAATGCAAGATCCAGATGTGCCAGAAAGCTTGAGACCTTCCTCAAAGCTTCTCCTTATATACAAGAAACAGACCACATCACTAAGGCAGCTACTCAGCTGCTCACAGTAGATTCCACCATGGAGTTGATTACCAGTCTCATCATGGGGAATACTACATCCAGCTGCCTAGCCACTCAACCAGGCCCAGCCAAGTTGACACATAATCTTAACTGCCACAGGCCCATTTCTCATTTGAGGAATCTGAGGCCCAAAGAGGGCAGGTCCCGTGCCTGAGGCTGCACAGCTGGACCATGGCAGAGCCCAAACCCTGGTGTATGAGTCTCCCATGGTGGCCATAACAAAGTGCTACAAACTGCAGCTTCAAACAGCAGGCATGTATTCTCTGTCAGTTCTGGCCAGAAGTCTAAATTCAAGGTGTCAGCAGGGCTCTGCTCCCTCCAGAGGCTCTGGGGGAGGATCCTTCCTTATGTCTTCCAGCTTCTGGTGGGCTCAGGCTTTCCTGAGCCTGTGGCTACATCACTCCAGTCTCTGCCTGTGTGGTCATAGGGCATTTTCCTCTGTGTGTCCTCTCCTCTTACAAGGATGCTGGTCGTTGGACTTAGAGTCCACCCTAAATCCAGGATGATCTCTCTCATTTTGAGAACCCTAACTGAATTACAAGGAGCCTGGGTGGTGCAACAGTTAAGCGTTTGGCTGCTAACTGAAAGGTCAGTGGTTTGAATCCACCAGCGACTCCTCGGGGGAAAAAAGATGTGACAGTCTGCTCCATAAAGGTTACAGCCTAGGAAACCCTATGGGGCAGTTCTGCTCTGCCCCGTAGCTTCACTGTGAGTTGGAATCAATTAGATGTCACACAACAACTTAATTACAATTGCAAAGACTCTGTTTCCCAGTAAGGTCATATGCACAGGTAGCAGGGTTGAGGACAAGGATGTATCTTTTGGAGGGACACCATTGAGCCCACCAACCCTGGTTTCTGAAGTTGTGTAAAGTTCTGATATTTTGACCTGGAACACTGTCGCCCAACTCAACCCTCCTCACCCCTCTAGCCAAGACCTGGCCTCCCTAGGATTGAGGTCAAGGTGCCACCTGCTTGCTTAGCCAGACCCTGCCTGAAGTCACCCAAGTTGAGGGGTCCTGTGGGCAAGAAGAGGGACTGGCCCTTGCCAGGGACCTCACCAACATGCCATCCCCTCGCTCCCTCCAGGCCTTACACTCCCTGACTTGCCTGAGCAGTTCTCCCCTCCCGATGTGGCGCCCCCCCTTCTGGTGAAGCTCGTGGAGGCCATTGAGCGGACAGGTGAGCCTCAGGCTGTGGACCAGCCCCTGGGTTCTACTCGCATACCTCTGGTGATGGACAACTCATCACCTTCAGGGCTGCCAAGCTCACTCTGGGAAAAATCCCCTCCTGAAACTGAGCCTGAAGGCTTTGGGCCCCTATAAGGAGGGGTCACTATGAGTCGGGTCCGACTCCATGGCACATAACAACAACAACAACATTGAGTAGGGAGATAAATGATCCCCAAGGTGAAGGGAACATGGACACCCCACCCAGCCATCTGCCAGAGTTGCCTTCTCCCCTTGTTTTTATTTCTGGTCTCCAAAAGAAAACTGCGAATTTAGTAGCCACACCAGGCCCCAAGCGGGGTCTGGGACTGTATTTGAAAGCTGGCCTTGCCACCTCAGAGCTGACCCACTGTCTCACACACACAGGGCTGGATAGCGACTCGCTTTACAGGCCTGAGCTGCCTGCCCCGCGCACAGGTGAGGGAGGAGCGTCGACGGGCAGGGGCAGGGGAGGACCCAACCTCGGATGGCCTGGCAGTGACCTAGGAACATCTGGATGTGTGCCCCCTGCCCCCGCAGACTGGTCCCTAAACGACGTGGAGCAGTGGGACGCGACGGCCCTGTCGGACGGAGTCAAGGGCTTCTTGCTAGCGCTGCCTGCGCCCCTGGTGACGCCGGAGGCCGCGACTGAGGCGCTCCGGGCCCTGCGGGGTGAGCCTAGTGGGGCGCCCAGGGAGAGGGACGGAGCGGACAGGTGCTTGCCGCGGCTTACCACAGGGTGTCCACCTTCTTCCCGCAGAGGGCGCAGGGCCAGTGGGGCTGGCGCTGGAGCCACCAACGCTGCCGCTGCACCGCGCACTCACGCTGCGTTTCCTGCTCCAACACTTGGGCCGCGTGGCCCGACGTGCCCCAGCCCCTGGCCCCGCCGTCCGCGCCCTGGCAGCCGCCTTCGGGCCGCTGCTGCTGCTGCAAGCGCCGCCGCCCTCGCCGCCGCCAGGGGGTGCGCCGGACGGGTGAGCAGCAGAGCCTGGCTGATTGGGCCAGGGGCGGGGCCTCAAGGACGCAGGGACGGGTCTAACTGTGACAGGGCTTAATTGGATGCAGGAGGAGAGCGGCCTAGGCTATAAGAAAGGGGCGGGGATAGGGCCCACGAGTGGGCGGGGTTCTGCATGTGAAATGAGAAAATAAAACAAGGAGCGAGGCTTCTAACCAGGAGTAAGTGTTCTGGACCACAGAGAGGCATGTGGGTGGCACTCCTCCCTCTTGACCCACAACCAAACTCACTTCCATCGAGTCAACTCATAGCAACCTCCTTGGGTTTCCGATGCAATATCTCTATGCAAGTGGATTGCCCAGTCTTCCTTCCCAGCAGTGGCTGGTGGGTTTGAATGGCCAGCCTTCTGGTTAGCAGTCATATGCCTTAGGCACTATGCCACCTGCAGTTGTCCCTCTCAGGGTCTTTCCCAGCCAGTACTATAGCACTACAGCCCTCTCGCTTCCACTCACTCCCACCCTAGGCATTGGGTTCCTGTTCCCTTGTATAAGAACTTATTGAGCACCAACTGCATACACATAAGCAAGAGTTGCCCCCCACACACACACATAACCTGCCAGCATTGTGTACTCTGCCTAACTCAACACCCTCATGCATGCACACCCCTGGGTGTTTGAGCTCACACAGACCTGTGTGCACACATGTGCAAATATGTGCTACAGAGCACTCACCACACTCCCTCCACCCAGGACGGAACCCAGTCCTGGCCCTGACTTTCCTGCTAAGCTGGTGGAAAAGTTGCTTCAGGAACATCTGGAGGAGCAAGAGGTCGTGCCCCCAGGTGACCCCCCCATTCTGTTGTTACGTCTTATTGAGGGAGGGCATCAACACTGGGTCCAGGGCCCTGCCACCATCAGTAGGCTTATTTACAGTGGGAACTGGGTGCAGTAAACAGTCGATGCTCAATGTGCATTTGTTTTCCTGTCCCCCAGCACTGCCGCCTAAACCTCCCAAGGCAAAGCCAGCTCCTGGGGCCCTGGCCAATGGGGGGAGTCCACCCTCCCTGCAGGATGCTGAGTGGTACTGGGGGGACATCTCCAGGTAGGGGAACTGGTGAGGCCTCTGGGAGAGCTGTGGGTGGAGGCAGAGCCTTGAAGAGCAGGGCTGTGTGGTGGGCAAAGCCTGGAGGCACAGGGTCTCCAGCAAGCAAGCCCAATCATGGGTCTTCTTGGCAGGGAGGAGGTGAATGAGAAACTCCGAGACACGCCCGATGGGACCTTCCTAGTCCGAGATGCATCCAGCAAGATCCAGGGGGAGTACACGCTGACCCTCAGGTGGAGGCTTGTTCCTTCAGGCATGACCGTGGGGCCAGAGGTCACAGAAACGGAGGGGTGGACATCAGGTCAGAAGGACTGTATAGGGTGTGGGCTGTGTGTGGTGTCCCAGCCAGGAGGCCTAGGGTCAAGGTTAGAATCCTGGTGGAAGCCTAGGGGTCAGCCTTGAGATCCTGTTGGATGCTGATACCCGTCTTCCCCTCCCCCCCCAGAAAAGGCGGCAACAACAAGCTGATAAAGGTGTTCCACCGTGACGGCCACTACGGCTTCTCCGAGCCACTCACCTTTTGCTCCGTGGTAGACCTCATCACCCACTACCGCCACGAGTCACTGGCCCAGTACAATGCCAAGCTGGACACGCGGCTGCTCTACCCTGTGTCCAAATACCAGCAGGTCTGGGCTCGGGGGTGGGAGCCAGGGAGGGGCATGCCTGGCCAGAACTGAGTCTGGGTCTCCTGCTGACCCCTCTGGGTGCCCCCAGGACCAGATTGTCAAGGAGGACAGTGTGGAGGCAGTGGGCGCACAGCTCAAGGTGTACCACCAGCAGTACCAGGACAAGAGCCGGGAGTATGACCAGCTCTACGAGGAGTACACACGCACCTCCCAGGTACCTGGGGAGACAGGCATAAAGTGGCAGGGTGGGGCCAGGAGCAGGACAGCCAGTCTGAGGCCATGGGGACAAGTGTCCACTTCCAGGTCACAGAGCCATCCGTTAGCACCAGAGGCTGCTCTAAAAGTCCAGCCGTAAACATACATGGTGGGTATTGTACTGTTGAGAAACTGTCACTCAGGTTTACAGGAGTGGCTGACTGGGACCAGGGCGTGGGGGGTGGTCTCTTGTATCCTAGTTTCTCCACCTGTAAAATGGAACCAAAACCAAACTCATTGTCATTGAGTTGATTCCAATGCATGGCAGCCCATTGGTGGAACAGAATAGGATAGCTCTGTAGCTTTTCCTTGCCTGGGTTCTTTGCAGAAGCAGTTTGCTAGACCTTTCTTCTGTGGTGTCATTGGGAGCGTTTGAACCACCGTTTAAGTTGGCAGCGATCTCAGACCATTTGTGCCACTCAGGCTCCTTGTAAACTGGAACATTTGGTCTCAGTGACCTCTCCACCACCTTTAGCCAGGACATTATTCAAATTGACAGTAATAACCTGGTGGAGGGTTGATGGGGACATGGGGCAACAGTTCATGAGAAGGGGCAGTGTGCTTTAAAATACAGCAAGGTTTCATCATTCAGGCCACGTTCATAAACTTCTTCTAAATCAAGATGCAACAACCATGGCTCGAATGACCCATCTTGGACCGGGAGTTGCTTGGTCACCCCTGCAGCCCATGAGGGTGTTTTCTTGTCCCCTTTTTACTGACGGGTCATTGGAGAGTTTGACGAGGTGCCCAAGCAGGTCAGTTATGACTTGGATGTGATTTAGACCCTCTGGACCCCCATGAATAGTTTTAACTTTGCAGTAGGCTGTTGGAAGGTTCTATGAGATGGTACGTGGAAAGCATTGGACTTATTGTTACTTCTCAGCCATGCTGTAGGTCCAAGTATTCATGGGTACCCAAAGGACAATACAGAGGAGGAGGGGGTTTTGGGAATGGGGTTTTGAAAGCTGAATAGCAGTTCATTCCCTGCAGCAGGAGCCAGAGGGATGGCACTCCTGGTGGAGGGAACAGCCTGAGTAAAGGCTCCGTGGCAGAGTTGTGATCTGCCTTCACCCTTCGTAAGGAGCTTATGGGAAGGTCCCGGGAGATCCTGACCCACCCCCTCCTTCAGGAGCTACAGATGAAGCGCACTGCGATTGAGGCCTTCAATGAGACCATCAAAATCTTTGAGGAGCAGGGCCAGACCCAAGAGAAATGCAGCAAGGAATATCTGGAGCGGTTCCGGCGTGAGGGCAACGAGAAGGAGATGCAGAGGTGAGTTTGGTCCGCTTCTCCCCACCCTCATCTAGTGCAGTGCCCCTGGGGAAAGGAAAGGATGGGCAGTTGAAATGGGCCGTGAGGGATGAATAGGAGTTCGTCAGAAAGAGAAGTCACAGGAAACAGCACAGGCAAAGGTTTAGAGGCTGGAAGCACACAGTTTGGTACAAAGAGGGTCCTTAAGGGAGCTGCCCTGGGAGCCATCCAAGGCCTCTGAGGTGCCCTCCCACAGGATCCTGCTGAATTCAGAACGGCTCAAGTCCCGCATCGCCGAGATCCATGAGAGCCGTACGAAGCTGGAGCAGGAGCTGCGGGCCCAGGCCTCAGACAACCGGGAGATCGACAAGCGCATGAACAGCCTCAAGCCCGACCTCATGCAGCTGCGCAAGATCCGAGACCAGTATCTTGTGTGAGTACACACGCTTGCCTGCATCCCTCCGTTAAATTCGCAGGGTACCGTTCTGCTCTTGCTTTCTCCGCCAAGCGGCCCCACTTAGCCCCAACTCCTCTTCTGTCCACAAGCCCCTGCTCTCGGAACATGGCCCCTGCTAGGCCCTTTGGAAAGGCTCTGGGTATATTAGCTGCAGCTTCTGACTAGGAGACCATCTCAGCCCAGGCCTGGGTTCAAATCCTGGATCTGTCCACTGACCCACTGTAGATGACAGCAAGGGGTCTCCCCTTCCCCCCATGCTGTGGGAATTTTTTTTTTTAATCTTTATTGTGATTTGGGTGAAAGTTTACAGAGCAAATTCACTTTCATACAGCAGCTTGCTTATATTTTGTCTCATGACATTGACCGCAATTTCCCACAATGCAACAGTTCTCACCTCCGCCCCATAGTTACCTCTTCCCTGTGTCTTTCCCTCCATGCACTCCTGCCCCCTGAGCTGTCTCCCTGTGCATACACAGCCCTTCTATTCTCCCATGATTGATCTCTCCAAGGAGTGTATCTACCTAGTGTAAATGTTCAACTCATATGCCTGTCTTTTGTTTGGCTAGGAGCCACAGGAGTGGGTTCAATTCCAGACCTGAAGGGCAGCTAGGGGCCATAGTCTCAGTGGTTCCACCAGGCTCTATCAGACCAGCAAAGCTGGTCCCACACACACACATGATTCTGAGTTTTGTTCCACATTGTCCTCCCACTCTATCCAGGATCTCCTACATAGATCCCCCTCTGAATGGTTGACAGTGGTAGCCAGGCACCATCTAGTTCTTCTGGTCTCATAGTCATATAGGCTGAGGATTGCAGCCTATAATGTTATGTGTAGTATGTTATGCCATTTGAGCTTAATGTCCCCTGTGACTATGGTCCTGAGCCCACAGGTCCTACTCGCTCTCTCTGGGTAGTTGGCTGTGGCCAAGAAGTAACTACAAACTTGTCCCTTGTCAGTTCTACTGTATACCTGGGAATTCTTACAGAAAATACACACTTGTATAAACCTCATCTGCCAACCCTATACATGGTCATGAGCGCACTCCCCCCTGCATAGACATACCTAATCGTTCAGCCTGTCCACCCATTTATCCACCTGTGTATCAGTGTTTGCCTTCACTAACTACACAGCATTGTATGTCCCAAAGGGCTCAACTTTGGTGTCTGTACCTCCCATGCACCCCTCTATGTCTTCCTTTTCCTCGATGCCACTGTGTTGATCAGCTGTGGAAAATTTATGTATGCTTGCTGTATACCAGGCACATGTTAACTGATTTTGTCTTCTGGAATCCTTTATAAAGTTTCCCCTTTATATCTGGGGAAATTGAGGCACACAGGAGACAGCTGCCCTTTGCAAAGGCTGACAGCACCGCCGGGCTGTCCCCGGGACGGATCCTCTTGTGATAAAGCCTCTTCTGGTCCAGCATGTTCTGGATGAGCTCATTGAGTGTGCACGGAGACAGAATGCATGGCTTCCACCCCACCCCAACTTGGACCCTACTGGGGCCAGGAGAGTCACTGAGGCACAGCTGCCCTTGGCCAAGTGGAGGCTGCCCCCATGTGGCCACCAGGGATATCGCACCCAGAACCTGCCCTCCTACGTTAGCCCCTGTCTGGAGCCAGGCTTGACAAATCCCCAGGGATTCAGACTTGACTGGCTACAGCCTCAATTTCCACATCAGCAGAAGGGATGCAAGCCTAACTTTCCTTTCCCCCTTCAGGTGGCTCACCCAAAAAGGTGCCCGGCAAAAGAAAATCAATGAGTGGCTGGGGATTAAAAACGAGACAGAGGAGTAAGTAACCGCCAGGAGGAGGGCAAACAGGGCTTCTTTGAAGAAGGGACTTTTTTTTTATGGATTTTGAAGGGTACACAGGAGTTCACCAGAGAGAAGTTGTCTGGGCAGCAGGGAGACCTTGGCTGCTGGCAGGTGAGTAATGAAGTCTGTTCCCCACCCCACCCCTGCTGTCCGCACAGCCAGTATTCCCTGATGGAGGATGAAGATGACCTTCCCCACCATGAGGAACGGACGTGGTATGTGGGCAAGATCAACCGCACGCAGGCCGAGGAGATGCTGAGTGGCAAAAGGGATGGTACCTTCCTCATCCGTGAGAGCAGCCAGCGGGGCTGCTATGCCTGCTCCGTAGTGTGAGTATGGGACAGAGAGGGGACTGCAGGGCTGGGGCTCTGTTAGTCCCTCCTTTGAGTACCTACTGAGTGCTGCACCTGGGGAGGAGGCCCATCGGGGTAGAAAAGATTGTCGGGGCCTCGAGAAGAGGCAGGGAGGCAGCCGGGGTGGGAGTCCAGGCAGGGTGGATGCAGGATGGTGGGGTGCTGTGGCTGGCAGGACAATGGGATGGGGCCGGGGGAGCCTAGGGCCCTACCTTACTCACCGACTGCCCCATGACCACAGGGTGGACGGTGACACCAAGCACTGTGTCATCTACCGCACGGCCACCGGCTTTGGCTTTGCGGAGCCCTACAACCTGTATGGGTCGCTCAAGGAGCTGGTGCTGCACTACCAGCACGCCTCACTGGTGCAGCACAACGACGCGCTCGCGGTCACGCTGGCCCACCCTGTGCGCGCCCCGGGTCCCGGGCCCCCGCCTGCTGCCCGCTGACCAGTCTACACCAACACCCACGGAGCGGAGCCACTGTAGGCTGCCCACGCACAGGCTGGGACGGAGCCGTGGAGCCACACAGCTGGGCTCCAGCTTCCTTCTTCCCCGCCTCTTCTCTCAGTCTGATGGCCTCTTTCACCATCTCTCTTTCTTGAATCTCTGTCTCTCTTCATTTCTCTCTTTCCGAGTCTCTCTCTCTCAATCTCAGCCTCTTCTCATTTTTCCTTCGTTCTCTGAGTCTCTCTCTCTGTCTGTCTATCTCAGTGTGTTTTGTCTGTCTCTCTTCCCTTTGTCTTCCTCTTCCTCTTACTTCCTGAGTGTCTCTCTCTCCCTCTGCCTCTCTCTCCCTCCCTCCCTCTCTCTCTTTCCTCGCTGAGGATCTCTTTGTTTCTGTCTCTCTCTCATTGTACTTGCCCCCTGTCTCTCTCTCCCTACCTCTTTCTCTGAGTCTCTCCCTGTCTTTCCCCATCTTTCTCTATTTGGGGATCTCTCCAGCCCTGCCCCATTCCCTCCCATGAGCACTGCCCTCCCATGGCTCTGGCCATCTGACTCCCTGCCCTGCCCGTTCATTGCAGGCCCCTGGGGTTCCCAGAACCCCTCCTGGCCATGCCTGCCCTGTTTACAGAAGCCCCTGGGCTGCGCAACTCCAGCCCAGGTGCATCGATTTTTAAGCCATACCCAGGGCCCGGGCAGGAAGGAACCTCGCTTGGCTACTTCCAAGAGCCTCTGCTGTGACATTTGGGGCCGGGCGGGACCCGCCCCATGGACCCCAACTTCCCCTCCAAACCCGGAAGTGAAACCTGCCATTGAGTTCTCCCCCTGAGGGGACTGTTGTCAAGAAATCCCCCCACCTTGAAAATCATTAAGAATAAACTCAGTGTCAACCCCATCTGGCCTGGCCCCAGGAACGGAGGCCCTGCTACCGCCGTCCTTGGCCACAGCACTGCCCAGAGCGCCTCGGGCCTGCTGCTTTTATCATGTTGTATTTTGATTTTACTTTCCTTGGCAGTCGAGCCCTCTCTTCCCTCTTTTGGGGCAAGCATCCTGATCTTTCTGCTGCCAGCCCAGGAAGGTGCATTTTGTACGGTACATTGGCATCGCCATGAATAAAGCTCTGGAACTGTTGGATCCTGCTTGTGACGTGCCTTCTCCACAGCTGCTATGGGGGGCGGGCCCAGGGCTTTAACTGACCTGCCTTTGATGGCTGACACACACATACACACGCCATGTAGCTGGACTTCAGGGAAAGTATGGAACCTGGGGTCACAGAGGGGAGAAATCTGAACGCTGAGCTATGCCCAGGCCTGCTCAGGGGACTCGAGGACCTGCCTAGTTCCTCATAGGCCAGCCCAGAAAGGTCCCCATGCCCTTGATGGCCCTCCTTGTCCTCAGGAGTCCCCCAGCTCCACCACCCAAATTTGAGACCTGGCCCTCTGACCTCCTTTCTCTATACCTACCTCTTAGCCCCCAACATGCCACCACCAGGTACCAGAGGGTGTTGAGCTGGGTCACATTGCAACACCCCGCCCCCATACTATACTCCACCTGGAATCCATCAACCCACTCTCCCCAGGGTCCCTGGCCCGCAGCCCAAGCTGAGTCTGTAGCTTTTTCCACTTCCCCAGGAGCCCGTTGGGCCCAGCACACCCTGCACAGGGGCGAAGGAATGAATGAAGGACAAGCTTCCCCTCATCTCTGCTCCAGCTCTGCCTACTGGGATCTTGGGAAGAGGAGCTTCCTCCCTTGGCTTTGGAGCCCCTGAGCCTCCCTAGCCTATCCCCAATCAGGAGATAACCATAAATAACTAGACTAGGCCCTGTGGTCTCTGCCCTGGGGTGGAAGACAGGTTAAAGCTCTCCTGCCCCAGGCAAGCTGGCTTGGGCAACAATAGCTCACTGTGTCTTCTCCCCAGTCCCTGCACTCAACCACCACCCTTGAGAAAGCTGCTTCCCCCTCTGACAGAACTTCTCATTTCCAAGCTGAGTCTGGAGTCACCACTCCTTCAGGACCTTTATCAGATTTGATAAAATGTCAGTTGTGCCTGCAGCAGGTGGCCACTAAATCCTCCAGTTACAGTTCATTGTTGTATTTGCAGGGGGAAAATTGTATCATTTACATTTATTGTTATTCAGTGGGGCTCAGCACAGGGCAAGTAAGTGCTGTCTTTTTTTTTTTTAAGGCCAGAGCTTTTATCGGAAATGAAACTGTTGTCCCAAGTCTAGGGGACGAGGCTTCTGGGAAAAAGGCTTTGGGGTACAAGGTGTAAGACTGTCGGGAAATTCCAGTTCCTAAACCTGATACTACCTGTGTAGAAACACTGGCTCAGGCTTCCCCAGAACTGAGCAGGGAGAGAGGCCCAAGGGCACAGCTTTGAAGCTGGAGACTTTCTCCATGCCCTGTTCAGCCCCATACCTGGCCTTTGAGACCTACAACCACGGTCCCATTCATTCCCCAACACCTCCGGCTCCAAGCCTTTTTCAGGGCTGTTCTGCTGCTGCTGCTGCTGTCCTAAGTCCCAAGCCCTTCCCAGCCTCACAAGGCCCAGGCTGGGGGAACCCTGCGGCTTGCCTCGGAGCCCTTCAGGGCAGCTTTATCCCCCAACCGCACTCCCCTCTCCATTTTACAACAGGCGAAGCTGAGGCTCCAGCTCCGGGGCTCAGGTCACCCAGAAGGATCTCGAGTCCAACTCACATCTGGTTGACTCATTGGATCTGCACCCTACCCCATCACCACCTCCTTCTTAGTATAGACACTCGGCCGGGGAGACAGAGGACCCCCAGCCTTCCTCCTTTTCCCTCAGCCCCCGGCGGGGGGTAGCTAGGGAAGCCATGCACCCCTCCTTTCTGGCTTCTGGTTTTTGGTTCTGCTGTGGCCCAGCCTGAGTCAGCAGTGGCGGGGGTCGGAGAGGTCGTGGCTGCAGAACCAGGGAGAGGGAGGGCGAGGGTGGTAAGGAACCAGGGGAGGGGGAAGAAGAGGAAGGTCTGGGCCGGGGGGAGGAGGAGGGCACTGGACTGTGGGGGCACAGGGTCCCCGGACTAGGGGCGGGGCCCCCACCCTGGCCTTGGGCCTAGAAGACCACTCCCCCATCTCTCTCAGTCTCGGTCTCTACCAGTCGCTGAAGTATCCACCCCACCTTCTCTCAAGGTGCTCACGCCCCTCGCGCCCGCCTCGTGACTGGGAGGAGCTGATTACCGAAGAGCGGGGGACGAAAAACGACCCGACGGCGCGTGACTTGGGGCCCTGGCACCTGACGGCCGTGGGACCGAGGCCACGCTGGAAAGTGAGCGCCGGTGATGGTTCCCAGAGGGACCAGGGGTCTGGCCAGGGGAGAGGGAAGGGCGAGAGCAGTCCGGAGAGAGGGGGTCCGGGCGAGGGGAGGGAGACAGAAGCGAAAGCCAGACGCAGCTAGCTGGGAACCTGGCCGCGACCCCCAAAGACCGGGGCGCCGGGAGGCGGGAGCTTTGGGGGCGGGGGCACTAGAGGGCGGACCTGCCGGGAGACAGAGGGAGGCCGGGCCTCCGCCGAGTATAAAGACCGCTCCCTCCCTTGGCAGCTGCACCTTTATCCCGCCGCCCAGCTGCGATGGCCCTAGCGCCTCTCCTGCCGTTCCTGTCGCTGCTGCTGCTGCTCGAGGTCCCCGTGGCGGCGCGTGCGTCCTCGCTGGGAGCGCTCCCCGAGGTGGCGGCTGCCTGCAAGGTAGGGACAGCGACGCGGCGGGCGGGCCAGGGGGGCCTGGCGCCCTGTCGCTGGCACACGGAGCCTTTCTGCGCCCGGACTCCGCCGGGGAGACCGAGGGCCGGATGGGACGCGTCCCACGCCACTCCGCTGCCGCGGCGGGTTCCCGACAGACACCTCCCCCGATTGAACCCTTCCTCCTACGCGGCGCCCGCACTGTCCTGGAGTCGTTTCACTTCCCTGTCCCGTCCCCCTACTCCGCCCCCGCCCGCTCCGCCCACCCTGCTGAGGCTACATTGAGCGCTTACTGTATACTTCTGGGGCTGAAGCCGAAGGGGCCACCCCTTGTGGTCCAGAGGAAGTCCAGACAAGCTGAGTGGACCAGCCAAGACCACCTGCATGCAGGAGGCTCTTACTGTGAGCATTCCAACCAGGAAAGGGCTCCTTGCGGTCCTGTTTCCGAGACAGGAAGATGCCTCGTGCGCCCGGGGACTTGTCCACTGATCACATACAACGGCTGTCTTCTATCCTCCCAGCCTAAGTAGAAGTCAACACCTATTAGTCACCGCCTCTCTCTGCAGTCGGCTTGGGAGGGGTTCCAGGGGGGAGCGTTGGGAGCAGGAGCCAGCTCACCAAGTCTCTCAGGGTGAAGTGGCCCCTGTGGTATTCATCTCCAAAAAGGCGTGGTTGAGGGTTGTAGCCACAAATGTGAGGGGGGTTTTCCTCCTTCCTACAGCCAGGGTGCCTGGTGGAAAGCAAGGGCTGTGGGAACATTAAATGCCTACTGTTTGCAAGTCTGCGTCCCAATCATTTTGCAAAACTGAGGTTTAGGGATGTTTGGGGACACAGCAGATGGGGGAGGGGCAAGCAGTTTTGCACTAAACTGCTAACCTAAGGGTTGGCTGTTGGAACTTACCCAGCAGGACTGTGAAAGAGAGACCTGGCAGTCTGCTTCCATAAAGACTACAGCTGAGAAACCCAGATGGAGCAGTTCTACTCAGTAATACATGGGGGTCACCAGGAGTTGACATCGACTCCGCAGCAATGGATTTGGATTTTTTTAGGGAGGACACAACCAAGTCTCAGATGTGGGGTGCTCCCGGGCCTAGGCCTGGAAGGAGTGTGAGCTGGAGCACTGACTGCTTGTGGCTCCCTTTCTGCGTGAGAACCAAGTGGGTTTAGAAGTCGGGAGTCACCCAGAGCCATGCTGTCTCACACACCCTGCTTCCCGTAGGCTGGTATCCTGTGCCCACCGGTGCCCATCAAGAACTCTGACCCGCCGCCTGTCAACGTCAGCCTCTACTATGAGTCACTTTGTGGCGGCTGCCGGGGATTCCTGGTCCGAGACCTCTTTCCCACATGGCTGATGGTCTTTGAGATTCTCAATGTCACGCTGGTCCCCTATGGGAATACCCAGGTGCGTGGGCACCGGGGAAACCGGCGTTGGGGGCGTAGGTGTGTGCAGCCATCCGGTGGGCTGCATCTCACCCCACTGCTTTGCAGGAACAAAATGTGAGCGGCAAGTGGGAGTTCATATGCCAGCATGGGGAGCAGGAGTGTTTGCTCAACAAGGTGGAGGTGAGTGGCCACAGGGCATTGGAACCAGCTCGTCCTCTGCCTCGTAGACCTCCATTCAATTCCGCCACCACTCACCAAGTCGATAGTGAGCACCGGTGAGGCTTCCCAGAGGGCCCTGGGCTGCCCTGGGCCCCCCTCACGGCCTTGCCTGCCCTCACCACCCAGGCCTGCCTGCTGGACAAGCTGGAGAAGACTGCAGCCTTTCTAACCATTGTCTGCATGGAGGAAATGGAGGACATGGAAAAAGTCCTGAAGCCTGTGAGTGTGTCCCTTCATCCACACTGTTGGGGCAGGGGAGGCACTAGGGACCACAGCAGACCTGGGGTTCAAATCCTGACTCTGGATGCCACCTGCTATGTAACCACAGGACAGTGGCCTCCCCCCTCAAAGCCTCCATCCTTCAAAGGGACTCAGATAATGGATGTCTCCTGAGGGCATGGGTGTATCAGAGAGGACTTTCTGGAGGAGGGCCCTCTGAGCTGTGCTTAGAAGAATGGATAGGAGTTTGCAGGGACACAGATGAGGGGCCTCCCATGGCATAGGAAGATGATAGGGCAGGCCCGCCTACTTCCCCAGGGAAATGTGAACAGTAATTCCCAGGAGTGACCAGTCCCAATTGTTTATTCATTTATCAGATACTCTGGCTGTTTTGTTATGTATTTTTTCACTACAATAAAATTTTTAAAATGCCTGGACTGCTCAAGGGGCCTCACCTTGAGTCACCCCCAACTTCGTGGGATCAGAATGGGGCTAGGGAATACAGAGGAGGAGGGAGCACTTGAGGAGAGGGACCTTCAGGAGATGATGGAGAAGGAAGAGGAAGGATGTTCCTAGTGGAGGGAACAGCATGTACAGCAGCTCAGAGGAAAATCAGGGAGTGTGGTCTGGTGTTAGGCAGAAGGCAAAGGGAGTAGGGAGACACTCACTGTTTTGGGACATTGTTGCATGCTGTGGAGCCAACTGTCCCCTCTTCCCTTGTCTGAGGGGCCAGTAGGGGACTGTTGGGGAGATAACAAGGAGGAAGCTAAAGCAACACCCTGCTTACCCACCCTCCTGCACCCACAGTGCCTGCAGATTTATGCTCCGGAAGTGTCCCCGGACACCATAATGGAGTGCGCAATGGGGGACCGAGGCACACAGCTCATGCACATCAACGCCCAGCTGACAGATGCCCTGCAGCCACCCCACCAATACGTACCCTGGGTCGTCGTCAATGGGGTAAGAGCCCTGTAGCCCTCAGCTCAGTCCCCAGGTGGGGACTGCAGTCATGGAGGCATCATTTGGGCTGGGAGGCAGGGGCCAGGCTGGGGACCATTTGCAAGCCCTTTGGGGCCAGGACCAGGGTGCACAGTTTGGGGCAGGTGGGCCTGTGGCCCTGATCCCAGCCCATCTTGCTTTGTACAGAAGCCTATGGGCGAACATGATCAGCTCCTGAGCCTGGTTTGCCAGTTGTACCAGGTAAACTGCATGGGGAGCTGTAGGATTCAGCAGGTGGGGGGGGGGTGTCTCCTTCCGGAACTCACAGCTGTCCCTTCCAGGGCAAAAAGCCGGATGTCTGCCAGATTGGGGTCAGGTCCCAAAGGGAAGTCTGTTTCCAGTGACGACCGTGAGAGCCTGGCTGCCCATTTTTCTGATCCTCAACTCTCAGCACCTGGATGACTTCTTGCTCCTCTGAGAATGGTGCTAAAGTGAAACTACTTCAATAAACTGTTTTGGAGGTTGTGAGTCATTTGACAAGTCAGCAAATATCCCCCTGGGCCTTTGCAGTGCTGGGGCCCCAAGGACCCTCAATCCTGGGCCCAGTTTCTGAGAAGTCCTAGTCCAAGAGATGAAACATCCGACAGACATCCCTTAGGGTCAGGGATGAGCCAGAAAGAGGGGCTCAGGACTGGAGGAGTTCAGAAGGGGCAGTGAGGACTCTGCCTAGGGAAGAGAGGCGTTGGGGCTGGGGTTTCAAAGGGTGAATAGGAGTTCATCAGGCAGAAAATCAATTCAACAAACATCTATAACCACTCCTTTTATGCTGAACCCACACCAGGTAATATTAAGGCCCTTAAAACACTTCCTACCCCACATAGTCATGGCTGAGCCAGTGGATGGGAACTAGAGCTAGGGGATCTGAGGATAAGCAAGAGGCCCTTATCTGGGGAATGTTGAGCAATGTGTTCACTCAGGGAGAAAAGCAGGGCATTGCAGGCAAGAGGAACAGTGTGTACAAACGCAGGCAGACAGATAGCAGGTTTGAGTGGCTACCTAGTGGGCCAGCCGTAAAATCTGGGGCAGGGATGCCGGACCATGGCAACTGAGAGCAACAGGTGTTCATGAGGGAAAATGGTAAGATGTTACACCAGTTTAACAGAATAGAACTGCCTCATAAGGGTGTTTTTGGTATAAAACATTGAAATGTATTGGTCTCTTTTTGGGGGAATTTGATTATCACAACTGTATTACAACTGAGCCATTAATCTCACAGTCTTGTCAGCATTAGCTGGCTCCTTACTGCTGAAGAATCACTTGTTTCTATAGAGGTTCAAGGGAAGGGCCTCTAAGAAGTGTGCAGGTTCCTTTTGTGTATCTACAGAAGCTTTATTTACTGTTAACTTTTCCATCACTCACATACAATGCTTATCTTCTTAAGATTTGTAGTAACTGGTTATGCTTTTTTTTAATAATAGTTTTATTGCAATATACAATGCATACCATACAGTTCACTTATTTTAAAGTGTACAATTCAATGGTCTTTATTGAGGCATTTGTTTATGCATTCATTTGGAGAAACTCCATACGTAGGCTCTGGAGTCGGGTTGATTGTAATCTTTACAGAAGCCACCTGCCATGCCTGGATCTTCTGTGGTAATGCCGGGTGGGTTCAACAGGCGACCTTTGTTACTAGCTGAGTGCAGACCATCTGTGCCACCCAGACACCTTTGTGCTTTCTTTTTAGACTTGAAGTTTTTTTGGCTTGCTGGGTGGAATATATTCCTGGACCTCTGTCCTCTTATTCTTGGCCATTGTCCTTGATACCCATATGCAGCTGCTCAAGCCCCAGGTGACGCCATCTGAACACACAGGGTCCAGAAACGTCCCCACCTCATGTTGTTGTTGTTGTTGTTGTTATGTGCCATCGAGTCGGGCCCGACTCATAGCAACCCCTCCTTGGGTTTCCGAGGTGGTATCTCTAGGGAAGTAGATTGCCCAACTTTCCTTCCGAGGAGTGGCTGGTAGGTTTGAACCGCCAGCCTTCTGGTTAGCAGGCAAGTGC